GAAAACCTGAAGCTAAGTCTAATGTTGAAAAATATTGGCATCGCCCTAATTTATCTAACAAATCTGTTATGTTTGGAAGAGGATAACGATCTCCCAATGTTTTTTCATTCAATTTTCTATAGTCTATGACTATTCTCCATTTTTGCTTTCTCGATGCGTCTATTTTTTTGGAACAATCCATATAGGTGAGCACCACGCTGAATGGCTCTCTCTAATAATTTTTTGATCAAGCATTGATTGTATTTGTCTTTGTCTTCGGTGGATTTCAGGATATCTGTATGATTTAGTGTAAATGGGTATTTCATCGCTTGTACGTATATGATGCTTAATTTTGCTCGTAAAAGTTAAGTAATTACCATCTATGTGAAATATGTCTGAATACTCTCTTACTAACTTGGTGATTGCGTCTTTTTCTTCAGAGTTCATATGCTCTGTCCTAATTTTGGAAATATCAAATTTATATTTTTGAAAGTTCAAAGAATTAATATTCGGTGGATCAGAATTTTCTGAAACTTTGTAATTTTCAAAATTTTCTACATCTATTGGTCGAGATATGTCAAGAGAAATCTGTTCTTCAGATAAATTTAATACTGCAAATTGCTTCGTGATTTTTCACTGTAGTAAGACATTCAGGGATTTCTAAACATGATAATTTTCTGTATGGAATAATAGCATTACCATTTTTTAAATTGTTTATGTTAACTTTAATTATCTGTTCTGTTCTAGGTGGAATAGTGATAACATTAGAAGAATTTCTTGTAATCTCGTGATATTGCATGGGTATCCTTGTTGTGGGTGTGACTAAAAGATCATTGCTCAAATCAATGTTGCATTCAATATCTCTTTCAGGTTATCGAGTCCTAAAAGGCATTGGAAATGTTCGTGAAACTTGAATAAATGAAATTTCATGAGAATATTTGGATTCTTAAAAATCTTTGGACACGGTATTGTCATACTATATTGTTCGATAGATGAACCATGTGCTGAAGTGATTTGGAATGGGTCTTTTTGAATATGTCTTGAAAATAATTTTTTCGCAATTTCAGGGTGTATGAAAGATTTGGTACTTCCAGTGTCAATCAATACTTTGAGATTATATTCCGGAAATACAATGTATGGTAGTTTGCTACATTTGTCGGTTAAACTCATAATTTCAATTGACTTTGGTGGTCCGTTGAGACTTGTGGTTGTCTCTGTACCGAGGCTTCTTGCCCTAAAAAATCGTCAGAATTATTCTGAGAATAAGCGCATTCATAATTGTCATCATTTGGAAATTCTACAACAGGTTGGTCTTGTACACACAAGTTAAACATAGCCTGTTCTGCGTTTACACCAGGTCTGTTAAAATTTCTACTTTGAAAATTTGGTTGTTGATACGTCTGTCTAGTGGATGTACTCATCGGAGTAGGCCTTGGCAGATTATTGATCTGATTAGGTCTAAAAACGTTATTATTGTGAAAATTCGTTCTATTCTGATTAGGATTATTTGGTCGTACATTATTAGGACTAAATTGTCTTTGTAATACTGGGCGCTGTACCGCTTGGTATTGTTTCCTATAATTACCAAAGTTGTTGTTCATATGGCGAACTAATTGCATATTATTTCGATTAACATTTTTATGTTTATCTACCTTATGATCAAGCTGAAAGTCGTTAGTTAATATATTCAGAGCTTCATTCAAGTTTGTAGGATTTTTCGTCCTCATTAGCGATCCTAGAGGTTCCTTTAAACCTTTTAGAAATACTCTTAATGCTACGCTTTTGCAAAAATTACATATTATCTGAGCTTCTTCACTCACACAATGTGTAGTTAAGAATGATATTTGTAAATTCAATAAACTCTGAACTTTGTTATAAAATTCAAAGGGGGTTTCATTGTTCTGTGTCAATTCATACATTTCTATATTTAGAGTAAATACGTCACGCTTGTCTTGATATGTATTTAAAAGTGCAGTTTTCAAGTCTGTCCAATTTTTTATAATATTGCTACTAATATTTAAAGCTGCATTACCTTTGATTTTCGCTAAAATACTACTCATAAGATATTCGTTCTGGAAGTCATTTTCATCCTCTAATCTATAAAATTTATTCACTAACTTTTCGCAAATATCTATGAATCTTGGTAATAATTCTTGTTGACCATAAAATTCGGGTATCATGTTAAGATACTCTGGGCGTAATGACATGCTTGATTGATTTACTTGACTGTTGTTTATATTGACTGTACTATTTTAGTATACTAGGTCTTAATTGAAATTTCCTTAAACTATGTTGGATATGTTACGTATCCGACTGTGAGTCCGAATCAGTGTCACTCAATATATCATCAAACAGCTCTTGATTGTTTTCACCCCTGTAAGACATTCGTACTTAGAGTAGTAATCCAATCCGTCCCATGTGTCCGTATGCCTGGGCCACTGCTGGGTTGCCTGTCCTGGAGCAGATGTTCCTTCTGTCCTCTGGGCTGCTGTCTTCTTGGTTTCTCGATCTGGGTAGGGTTCTATCCCAAATCTGGTTCCGGTGATCACGGTAACGATATCGATATTCCGTCGGATCGTTCGCGACCAATCGCGGTTGGTTTCGTTATAGCCAGTAAACCGTTGAAACGAACCGAAAATGTCCTTTTTTCGTCTGGCTATCCTACTGCTTGCTGCGCCACTCAAATATCTTTCTTCAATGAAAACGGAAGAAGGGTTACAGGCGGATTGGTCATCTGAATGATTTCCTACTTTTAATTTTATCGATTTCAATGCGTAGTTTAACATGTCATAGAGTGTTTAAACGGGGTAATCCATATTATCATTTTTTCAGCAAATACAGCGATTCTAGGCTTTTGGATACCACAATGTAATTTCAGACACCTCGCCAAAAACTGTTTTAACGATGGAGTGACGCTACTCTTCTACGGTCCATATCATTTCGCCACTACATTTAGGTAGCATATTGAATCACCTTAGGCGCTAATGCGACGTTGCAATTCGGTATATTTGGAGGGCAGAAGATGAAGGAGGTATGTGCAAGTTCGATGGCTTATTTTTGAACAAACATACCTTTTTTAGACAGGGGAAATCTTTTATAGCCGTTCTCAGGCCAGAAATTTCTATATAGTCGAAATCACGAAAGATGACGATTACGTCATCATTTTAGTCTGTAGTAAAGACAAACGACGGCGATTTGTGAATATTTTTAATGAAGTTTCAAATATGTTAGACAGAGACAAACATATTGTATTGCTAATTTGCATGCATCCAACAAAGATAGACGATGTTTACATGTTGCATGATCGATCATATTTGAAAGATGAATAGTTAGGTTATGTTAAAGCAGTTAGGTTGTTTTCGAATAATATTTTGGTCTTTGATGTTAATGTCTTAAGGTGTATCTACTCATAACTGTTCTTTCAAAACAAAAACTAAAAATAAATTTATTAAATAAAATTATTATTAAGGCATCACTTAAAACCATGAAATAAAATGAAAATATCTTTCGTGATTTTGACTATAGAATAACAATCAATCTGTCCTGTCCGAAGTGAAAGTCCCGAAAATTACTCAACAAAATATCTCGGTCGTCTAGCGTAACTTATAAATTCATTACTAGTACGAAGCAGTAAATACTGTCGACCTTCTCAATTCCCCTCTTAGCGCCACTAGTAGTCTGATATTCTTTGTCAGTAGAAGTTTTATTTTCTTTAACTCTTCGATAAATTTCTGACACTTTTGTTAGCTGATACAAAGTGAAGCAGAATTACTTACAAGTAGTATTTTGACTCGCACATGAAGTTTGTTATAAATGCTACTAACTCTTCCTTCCCTTAGAAAAAGTTATTAGAGCTTTTTTATAACAAACTTTCCGTTCATTATTTGACTCGTCTATGCTCAGCCACTATATTATAATCACGTCAGAAATATATGAACGACTTGTTATCAGCGGCTGTTTTCGTAGCAGTGCGGTGGGGGGGATACGGTCCAATATCGTCGATGGTCGGGTGGTACCTTGACAGAGTTGTCATGTCAATATAGTCAATAATTCCGTATTAATTACCAAACCGACGTTTAACCTTGCCTTGCCTATCGTCAGAAGGTGTAGATATGTTCCGTTGAACCATATTCGCTATTGTTCGTTGATGTGAATATATGATATTTAGTTCTTGCAAGTTCTAGATTATACACTTTTTCAAAGTACATAGGTATTTATTTTTGAAATCTCAACAGCAGCAGAGAGAATTTACTAACAAGAATTTTCACATGTCAAACATGTGTTGCCAGGCCATACTAAAAATATTGCCGTATGTTGCTGGCTATAGTTGTAGTCACCGTTCTTGACCGGTCAAAGTTAGACTACCAGTATCCCTTTATAAATCTCCATCTCCCTCATACACACACATACAACCTACCCCCTGTGTGTGAACGTTTGTTCAGTAATCTCAGACATTTTTTAGTTTTGTGTCTCCGTCTCGAAAACGTTGTTGTTACGTATGAGTGCCCTTCAATCATATTTGTCAGCTGGACAACTTACTCGACATCCGCGTGCAATTCGAGTTGTCCTATTATCTTCAATATAAAATTGTACAATGCCCGGAAATACGATCAATGGAGAAGGCCGACATCTCGTGCTAAACTTATTAGTGTATTTCCAGGAAGAGAATATAAACAGCGGTCCCTTGTTGCCCACTTCATGCGAGCTGGACAGAGTAACAGATGCGCTGAGCATTAGTCTGCGCAGTGTTTCGCCCATGGTACGGAGACTCGATATGTTTACTTATTTCATATGGCGTTGATGACGTAACCGCCAAGAACGGTGACAACAACTATACTCTATTACACCTAGATAATGCAGTGAAGATACTGCCAGTTTAGAAGCGTCATTACATCCTGAATTGCAATTTAGTAGAAAGGTTATGCAAAGATTTATTTACAAGTGGATTTCAATTTCGGTACTTAGCAAATAACATTCGATGTTGTATACCTGTTGAGAAGAGTGATACCTAAACAGACCACCCGACAACACTGAATACTGGACATTATCATTGATTAATATTTATATGATTAAGAGTTCCATTGTTTTAATCCACAAATCTGCAAGTTGCATAATACGCTATTTATAAATATACCTGAATGTTGGGTGTTCTACAATAATAGCTCTATGTAGTTTATATACATATATTTCTCCAGTTATCTACATAGATATATATACACAATAAAGATTTATAATATTAATATACCTGTTTCCAACAAAAAGTAAAACACTGACAATTTAACACTGCTACACAGAACTAAAAACTTCATATTAGTTGGTCAAGCACCATTGTGCGATTGATGTCAGGAAATAAATCGCATAACCCTCCCTTAAATAGTTAAATGTAGGTTGCAACAAAGTAGAAGATTTTAAAAACCATGCAAAATGCAACAAAATTCGGCGAATCAGACAATTTAGCATTCTGATTTCAACGATCATTTGAAAATGGAACTGAATGCTCCGGTCCGGATAATCCTCCATTGGTTTCGTATCTTTATCTGTTCAAGTTAACTCGAACCATTTTACGTATCGCTTTAAAAAAAACCTTGTCAATAAAAGTCACTTTCCATTCGGAAATGGTAGTATGATCTGGAAAAATAATAAAAAGATACAATATTATCATACTAAAGAAAATTGGCGCAATGTAAGCCCTAATTTTATAACTCGCATGGTTTTAAAAAACCCATCCTGAACACCACCATTCACCAACCTTATAGGATTAGTGGAATTACAATTATTAAATATAGGAAGGTTAAAAGGCGTTCTAATTAAAGAATACTCACAATAAGATCATTTTTTACAGAAGTAACATGTTACGTTAGACGATTAGACAGCGCAACAAAATATAGAACAGTAAACTTTAGCGTTTAAAAATTCCATTATTTCGTTTTTGCAATCCTCCAGCTAAGCCTGCCTCATCAATACCTTGGGTTGCTGTCATATAACTAACGAGCAAGCTGTATGATCAAAGCTGCACACATTTCAAAAAACTCCATTGTATGATGACCCGTGGGCTTTTTGTAAGTAGATGGGTCTGTACCTACTACCACTGGAGTAGGAGCATCTAAGATCATTGGCGCCAAATTACCGTTCTGCTCCGAATCTTCATTGCTCAGGCTCTTGAAGTCCAGCAAATAACTTTTATAGTCAACCTGCAAAATAACCATGAGTGTTGTGAAGGGAACGCCCGATACCGATACGTATATCGCTGTAATTTGTCGATAACGGCCGATATGACTGCCCAAATACCGATATTCGCTATGTGCGAACTGGGTGGTGGAGACCGTCAAATCGATCGCAGCGCGTTATGTGGCAGAGATGTGAAATAAGTCAGGATTGGCATTTGTCAAATAGCTATATTTCATACAATTCCACACTAAATTTATTGAATATTTTCATATAATATCGCTGAAATCCTCGAACTTGATCACAACACATGCTGCGTTGTAACTGCAAAAACAATGGCAATAACAGTTCGTGCAAATTTTGTACGTTTCTCACAGCAAATTAGTGCAAAGAAATAAATGGATAGCAGCTGTAAATATAGAAAAGTAACCGACATAACCTAGTATGACGTTAGCGAATATATATTATTTTTACTATACTGTGAGCAAAATATATAGAAAAACAAACACCAAATTAATAAATGTAGGCTGGCAAGAAGGAAAGGTATTTGAATATTTTGAAATTAGAAGTTTAAAGCATGTTTCATTGATACAAATCCCGTACTTATTACCAATTTTAATATGTACAACAACCCTTTTAAGAACTTTTATTCGGTTTTATCTAATTTCAATGACAAACAAGCCCAATATTGTTATCAAAACATGTAGTTGCCAAGAATTGACAGGTCTCGAATCTAGAATAAATACGGTCATTAAGCTGTACTATTATCACGCACACTGCGAATAGGCTAACCTATACAAATTACAAGGCCTCAACTTCTTATTGATTTGAACAAAACAGTCAATTTATGGAAAAGTGATAGTTTCACCTTAAACATTTTTAAATTTGAACCCTGTTTAATATCATTATTCAATTTATTTAATTCAAATACTCCCTTTTGAAATATAGATTTACTAGTTATGCTATTACAATTTTGCAGATAAAAATCTATAGTGCCTCAGTTTCGTAGTTATGATAATGACTATTTAATTTTGTGAAGTTCTTTAAATGTGGTAGTTAATAAATGTTTAATTTGAATAAGAAAACGAGAAAAATAATATATGAAATTTTTCACATCCAACCACTGCAGTTGAAATGAATGCACATATGAAACTACAATTTCGGGCCTGATGAAGCCAACCAGCAGAAATACGTATCGCTCGGGTTACCTATCCTATTTTCTGCTCGAATCCACTTTCCTCTTTTTTGCGGATTTTGCCCATTATTTTACTACTTTTTGTTATATACCTTTCTCCGCATGATCATTTTCTCTTTGTAGATCCTTTGGGCTTGAAGTACCACAGCAAGTGGCTATAACCGGCCGCGTGGTTGTGGTTAGATATCTCCTTGAAAATTCGAGGTCTTCTAGCCATTTTATACTACAATGTGTAGGTTGGCTCTTGTTGTGGACTTCGTGTGTCGTTTTTTCCCCTCTCCATCTTCGTTTCCTCAGGTTACACCCGTATCCGGATGTGTGGGCATGTGTATCTACTTTTGTAGTTTCATATGTGCATTAATTTCGGGCCTGATGAAGCCAACCAGCAGAAATACGTATCGCTCGGGTTACCTATCCAATTTCTGCTCGAATCCACTTTCCTCTTTTTTGCTGATTTTGACCATTATATTTCTACTTTTTGTTATATACCTTTCTCCGCATGATCATTTTATCTATATATATGTGTGTCTATCGTCCGCAAATCTTTGAATTTTGCAGTGTTCTAAAATGTCAGAGATATCATTTATATGAATAATAAATAGTAACGGCTCTAATTTACTCCCCTGTGGCACCCCTACTGATATATTTTGAACACTTGACATATTTCCAACTTTAGTTTTTTGACTTCTATTTACTAAATAATTTTGTAAAATGTGTAATACTGATCCTTTAAAGTCATAGTGACGCAATTTCATTAACAATTTTTCCCTATCTATGGTCTCAAATGCCCTTTTGAAGTCTAACAATATATTTATTTGGATTGCCGTTTCTGTGGAACATTTTTTTCTAAATCCAGCTTGATTTTTTAGCAAAATTTTGGTTTCTTCAATGAATTCTATGATTTGTTCGTATATTAACCCTTCGAACAGCTTCTCGACATCGGGCAAGACATTAATCGGCCGCATATTTCTATACAGTTGAGAACTTTGAACTTTTGGCACAGGAGTAATGGTGGAACACTGTAATTTTGATAGGAATTCACCATGTACTAAATAATGATTCACCAATAATAATAATTTCTCTCCAATTATATTGAAACAATCATTTAGAATATTTTTTGAGAGATTCTCACTTGGATTTTTAAGCGCCTCAGTAGATCATAATGCTCGAACATTCTACACACATCCATTGATACAAACAGTAAACCTTCTTTCATAATTATTTTAAATGTTTGCTCGTCCAATTCCAGAATTGCCCGATATCTGTATTTCATCTTTTTAATTGCCACTATATTTATCATCGAATCACTGCTTATAATATTGTTTCTTTCTTTCAAGTCTCTAATCAGCTCTTGTTTATCGAATTCCTCACTGAAGCCTACAACTTTAATCATTGGTAACTTCCTACTACTCACTTTATAACTGTGTCCTATATGTTTTTCTACGTCTCACTTCAATTTTGTGATTGATGTCTTCAACATTACTACATTCAATTTTCAACCCCCCATCTCTCTGATCGCTAATGTTTTTTATGGAGACATTCATTTTTGCAGGATTTATATATTTGCTGAGTACCTTCTTTGTGTGTAAACAGTTTTGACTTTTATCGTTTGGTTTTATTATAACTGTCTTTTCTGGTTGTACTGTAGAAGTAACCAAATTTCTATTAATGTTTGTAACTTTGACTATTACTTGGTGTTCTGCATGTGTTTCTGTTTTATTCGTGTTTGACAGAGTGGGAACTCCAGTAACGTTAGTGTCTTTATCTAGATTTACTTCTTTTTCTTTTCTGTATTTCACAGCATTTGCAAATGATTTAGGTCCATTTTTTTCTATTTGTAATTCGTTTAATTTCACTTGCAGATATGCATTCTTCTTTTGCAACTCTTTTATCAACAAATCTTGTATGTGAATTGTATAATTCTTCATTTTTATCACATCTTCCACTTGAAATCCCTTTTCATCTTCTTTTTCGGTATTTTTTGTGTTTCTATTTTCGTTTTTGATTTCGTTTGGCATAGCTACATTAAAAATGTAGAGAACTGGTTCACTAGTGATAAAAAATTGTCAGTTATGTCACTGATCTACTTTGAACCAGTTGATCTTCGAGAAAGGACCCTGGATCAGCAGCTGTTAGTTTAGAACCTTCCCCAATAATCTCCAACTCTTCTCAGAAAGATGGCAATATAAAAAGTTCGGCCTCAAAACCACCTAATTCTGTTCTTATACCAGGAGCAATATCAATTCAATGTACTATACCGAGTGTACGTCCATACTGTTGACGATTAATAGAGTGTTCCTATGAATCCATGATAAAATCCAACTACTTTCTTGAAACTTGTTTCAAATCAGTTTCACAGAACCGGTTATTCCGATCTGTATCGCACATTAAATACTATGATTTTTTATTCAAATCACATTTAAGCTGCGCTAAAAGAAACATCGACTAGTTATGGTGCTTGTATTGGCTTATTGTTCGGTGCCCAGCTTATCAACCCAGAGAAATAAGCGACGGAGATGCTGTATTTGTTTTGAAGTGGCCTAAATAGGATTTAAATATGGTTTTCATATAAGCGTTACGTCCATCGTGTTCACCAAAGGTTACCATAGCTTAATACACCAGAGACCAACGGCCGATAATACCGATATTTCGGAATTTAATATATCGGTATCAACCATCTGTCAATCTCCAGTTTTATATATCAGGATTGTCAAAAAAATATAAAATTGATTCATCAAGCACAAACAAAGGTACCGAGAGCTTGCCGAATCCAGTATTTTACATCGCCTATTACTTCATCCATACTTGAAATCAGCATGTGTTTTATTCGTGGTTGGTTGCACAGCTTCAGGTGATGGTGACGTAATACTCGACTTTCTTTACTCACTTTATAAGCGTATCGCGTTCAAGAACTAATTCAATACAATAAAACTAATGTCATTTTCAATACCCTGTACGTTGTAAAACATAAACAACCTATTATAAAGCCAATTGTTTTCCTTTTAAAAATTTAAACAGAAATTGAATTAGCTTACCTGATACAACTGTAGTGACATCATAACATATCGGTTATGCAGCTTGTTCTTATGCCTAACTCTGACGTGGTATGGATTGATGACCTTCCATTCGTAATCTAGAGCTTTCATAGCTCTGTACACCTCCATCATTATGTCATTTGGTTTACTTTGCGATCGGATGCCGAGATGCCACTTTGCCCTTTTAACTAAAAAACAAACGCCACAAATCACTCCAACAAGTTTATTAAATAGAAATAACTTTTTCATTTGAAGTAATATGTGAAAGCAGTTCTTATGGAAAAAATGCTGGAAGCGCATGTTTTAAACTTCATCATTTAGGTTTCAGTACCCCATGTCCATCCTATGACGTTTACCATATATTGAGTAGCCCAAAACTAAAGTGTGTTAGATGGTGGTTCGAATATTGTACATATACATACATCGTTGACATCCACAATTATACAGGATGTCTCACGGCAGAGTTAGGATTTGGAAATTGAATATTTCTAAAACCGCTTGATGAGCGCGCGGAGAATCGTATATTACGGCTCGGCGGCAGTTTTGTTTACATTACAACATAAGACGTTTACAGGATGCACCAAGCGAAATCTTGATTCGTAAATGGCTGCAAAAGTTTCGAACTACAGGATCGGCCGAGGCCGGGCCCGAGAAAGACTTCAAGAACTGAAGACGCAATAACCGAAGTTGATGCTAGCGTTCGTCGCAATCCTCGTTTATCGATTCGAAAAAAAGCAGCTGTCTTAAATATAACTAAATCAACAGTAGAGTGGATTTTGAAGAATTTGAAATTCCATCCCTACAAAATTCAAACTGTGCAGGCGATATCGGAAAATGACCACATTTTACGAAAACACCTTTGCCAGACTGCCATTGAGAGATTTCGCACTTTGGATATAGTGTTTTGGAGCGATTAAACACATTTCCATCTAAATGGTTATGTAAACAAACATAATTGTCGGCGAACGGAATCATCGGGCCTTATTTTTTTGAAGATGAGAGAGGTCGAACGACGACTGTTACTGATGAAAAACACCCTGCGTACAGTTCACGCACGTGGTTTCAGCAGATGGAGCCACTGCCCACACTGCAAGAGAAACCATGGACCAGCTTCGCAAGTTGTTCCCTCGAAAATTAATATTCCGTTTTGGTGATATCGCATAGCCTCCGCGATACGCCAGTAATCCAACGACTATGGCTGAGCTCAAAGAAAATATCTGAAAAGAAATTAGGAACATCGAACCTGCCTTGTTCCGCAAGATGCAATGACGAGATTCCACGAGTGAGTGTGACGTAATGGAGGTCATTCCAAGGACATAATTTTAAAAAAATGATATCAGCATATATGGTCTTTAGAATGAAATAAAAATAGTTTTGGTAAACTGTAACGTTTTATTGCTATTCAATTTCAAAATCCTAACTCTGCCTACAAGTTTGGCGTACAACCGGTCGTTCAGAAGGAAATTAAAGGAAGTAAAATTGGCTTTGTATTTGATACTTGAAAACACTATTTCAGATACTGTATAATTTTACTTGCAAGACTAAAGTATTTGAAATAATTAAAGTAATTCAAATACTCAAATAGTGTTTCAAATACCTATAAAGTGGCGAAACCATCAGGTTTTAAATGGTGACTAAAAGCTTGGTGATTGACTACTAAAATGGTGGATTATTAGCATTTCTGAAGGCATGTAATTTGTAATCAATTTTCGCTGATACATGAACATAAGAAGTCCCCCTAAATTGTTCCTCTGGATCTGCCTGTCTGAATGACCTCGTCGTTGTTCTGGATTATAGTATTTGATATATAATATATTTTTTGAAGGAAAAGTACTTGGTACTTGAAATACTGTTCACTGGTATTTGGGATAGCTCTGCTTGTGATTCATCACTGGATACTTTGTACATACACTCTCTTTTGTACTCATTAATCGCTGAACATTTGTATCAAAATCTGGGTATCCGATTTTCAGAGTTCAAGTTTTCAAGTCCATTGGTTCATCTTTCCATTGAACATATATTACGTTATGTCGTTCATACCTCGCCCTTTATCTCCAACAGAACCATACCCAGCGGCACCACCTCCTGGTGGCCAAGGGTGCAAAGGAGCTATGCGCTCCGGATGTGGTTTCATTGGACTGCCCACCGTTGTGGACCCACCACTGCTACCCTACAATCATTAACAAGCAATTAGACAAGATCCTCTGGGTAAAATATTTTGCAGAATTTCTTCATGTACATCCCACCATTATCAGCAATAATAATTGACGATCTGTTGCAGTTGGAGCCTGACCTCAAGGGTCTTATTCATCTTCGTATATTAACGCGTACACATGCGTATGATTTGTACGAAGGAGTGTACAAAATCCTAATCAGGGACTACTAGTCTAATCATATTAAAGGATTAAAGTAATTGTAATGTTAGGTTTTGTTGGTGCAAGTTGTTGGGTATTTTAAACATAGGCACTCAAAGCAAGTAGCTCATTTGCGTACCAAAACTTTTTATTCAACAATAAATAATGACAAAATGCGTTTTTTAGGATTAACCCGAAAGTGTTTGCTTAACTAACAAAATCTTCAAGTAAGATTTTTAGATAGTTGAGAGACCTACAAAATGAGACCTCACATAAAAATATCCCAACAAAACAAAAAAAGTTATGACCAAAAATAATACCACGAAGATTCTTGGAATTCCTCAGATCAATGCATTCTATACTTCTAAATAATCACAAGAAAATTGGAGTCGATCGGTCAAGTAGTTTTTGAGATTTTCTAATTGTTTATCCAGAAACATCTGTTTCCAGCCAGCATCACCAGAATATGAAGTAATTAATATACAAGGTTCATTTTAATGGCATTTTATAGCGATATACACAAATTTACCTCAGTGATACGAACCAAAAAACATTTCACATTCTAAATGTTATATTAATGTGGATAACAAATGGATTTTTTTCTGTTAAATAAATTCAAACATTCACACGAAGTCTGAAAATTAAGTGATGAGATTAGCAACATAGCGTTCGATCTGGCAACACTGGAGGCGCAGGGCTTGGAGGGGAGACAGGAAAACATGTAATCCAACTTCAGTACAAGTTTGAACTCGTAAGAGTCATTTGGTTGTCCGCAGCATTTTTTTTGTGAAACAATTTTTTCTATTTTGTTCTAAAAATGAGCGACACCAATTTCAAACAACGGTGAGCTATCAGGTTTTGCTTCCGACTTGGGCATAGTGCAACATAAACTCTTGCTAAACAGGCCTACGGACATAGTGTTTTGTCAAGAGCTCAGGTTTTTCGGTAGTTTAAGGCGTTTTCAGAATAGAAACAGTCGATTGCAGATGAACCACGAAGCGGAAGGCTGATGAAAATCGTCGATTGACAGTCAGAAGAAAGTTAACTTGATTCACACCACCGTTCATCAGATCGAGAACAACTGGGTGTGGTATCACGATAATGCTAATTGCCACACAGCAATTTCAATAAACGAGTTTTTGGGCAGTAAAAACATTCATGTGGCCCCTCAGCCTCCTTATTCGCCTGACTTGAGATCTGGTGAGTTTTTTCTCTTCCCGATGTTGAAAAATCACCTCAAGGGGATAGTCGAAAACATTCAAACGGCTGTAACCGGCTATTCCAGCATCGGAGTGCTATGAGGAGTGGAAGAACCGTCTCCAGCAATGTTTAAGTTATTTTCAGGGTGTTCATATAAAATTGTAATTATATTTGAATAAAAAAATTAAAAAATGCCGATCACCTAATTTACAGCGTATCGCTTGATAACCTCGTGATGTTGGCTAGGAAACAGGTGTTTTGGGATAAACACTCAGATATATTTTCAAAAACTGTTTGACCAGTCGACTCGCAATTTTGTGATGGCTGTATAGAAGTATGAGACTCAATGATCTGAGAAGATTCAAGAATCTTCATGACAATAAGTATCAACACCTGCATTTTGGGAGGCTTTTGGTCGTAACAGTTTCGCTTTTGATTGGATCTTTTTATGTGCGATTTTGGAGGTCTATTAAATGTCTAAAACTCTTACTTGAAGAATTTTTTTCGTTCATGCAAACACTTTCGATTCATTCCTAAAATCGCATTTTCTCATTATTTGTTGTTGAAAAAAATTTTCCTACAAAAATTGAGCTACCCATTTTACACAACCATATTTTAAATATCCCCCTGAACAATTTGCAAGGATTATTCTTGACCTAACAATTATTACGGTGAAATTTTTTAGTACTAAACGCTCGTCATGAATAATGTCTAGTGTTACTGTGAACAGTGTTTCTAGATTCGTTTTTCGGTAAAAATAATGTGATATGAAGCATTCATTTCCGCAATTTATTTCCTGTAATGAGGCGACAATCTCGTAGGTGTTTATTTGACGGTTGCGAATTCGTGCTAAGGGATCCTGTTGTACTGAATAGGCTCCTTGCAGTTAATATATGCATTGTGGTGTATGGAGCAGAGTATTTACGATCTTTACCGATTTTCAGCATCATTGGATGATTGTTTGGGTTTAGTTTGATCTTTTCGTATCCAATTAAACGTACCTGGTGATATTCGATGGCAGGAGGTCCCGTAGAAGCGGGAGGAGGACTTCCGGCAGCAGAATAGAAATCTTTAATTTCTGCCCTTGCAGCCTCGTCAGCGATCCTTTTGTTGTCAATGATTAAATGGTATGCTATCGCTAACTGGTCATGTGGATCTCCACTCAATAGTGCTGCATGCACTTCAGCTTCCTGGACGCCGAATTTATCGCATACCTGGTAGACAAAATGAGAAATGAATTTTATGAACACCATTAGTTTAATTATATTTTTGTTTACCTCTTTGACAGCATCTGTATCAATCACAGATGAATCTTGTTCAACTGGACTAGGAAACAAATAAGCTGGACATTCCTTTTGGAACCACTCGTGTTTCTTTATGTCCTCAATTGTGGCACGTTTCATCGGATCAATCTAAAAAACAGTTGCAAAGATCTCTGTCGTCTACTATACTTGATATTTTACTGGCGGGAAGTAATTGAAAGATAGCAAGATAAGACTTTATTAATTTTTGTATTGGTTAATTTCTAAGGTACCGTTCTCACCAAATGCAAATAACCACAAGCTTTCTCACCAAACACCGACAGTGCAACCAGTTGCTATCGATAGTCGGTTTGCATTCCCCCACCTGTTGATCGAACATCTGTGGATGACATAGCTAGTATTCTGAACAAAAGTGCTAATCGCGTTTATGTTCTTTGAGGTGAATGAGTGCTGAAACCGTTCCACGAGCATGGGCAGCCACAGACGGGTCTTCCCACTGCTGGGAATTCGGTTGGACCTTAAAATTTGCATATTCAGAAACAGTAAAACGTTTTTCGGGCAGGTACACTTTCACAAAAAGTTCTCTCTTGCCAATGATTGGTCCTGCCAAGACAAATTCCCATGTTCAGGAAAGCTACAGTTGATACCGAACATGAGAGAAGCAAGTATTAGTATACAAAAAATATGTTTGCATACTAAGCGCTACTTGCTGCTGATCCTCTAAGTACATACTGTTTATCAGAAAGCCACCCCCTTCCCCACTTTATTTTTTGTCGAAGTTGAAGCTAGGTTGCCATTGAGTTGCTTTTGGTGAGAAGACTACCCAAGATATGTAGGAATAAAAATAAAACACCCACCTGCAACATGGAGCAGAGCAGGCTGACAACTGATTTGTTAAGGTATTCTGGAATAGGAAATATTCCAGATTTTATCTTCCTAAAGAGGGTAGGAACATGTTCGTCATCAAAAGGAAGGGTTCCACATAGTAAAGCATAAAGAATAACTCCACATGACCAAATGTCGACTTCAGGTCCTGCATACAGTTTACCAGATATTACCTAGAAAATAATAAAAGCATACATACTTGTAATATTGACTCGGTACTTCCATCGCATTCCTGAATTTATGCAAAAATAATTCTCGTCTCTCACATAACTGGAGCAATATAATCAAAATCACGAAAGACGACCATTACATCATACCATAAATTGTACTGAAGTAAAAAATGGACGTACGTCGATGATAAAATGACGATGTCAAGAACTGGCACAGGACTGGTTATTTTTATTTTCATTTTATTTCATGGTTTTGAGTAATACCTAAATAATAATTTTAGTGGAGAGTTTTTGTTTTGAAAAAAACAGTTATGAGTAGAATACCTTAAGACAGGAACACCAAAGGCCAAAGTATTACTCGAAAACAAAACAAAATATTCACAAATCGCAGTCGTTTGTCTTTACTACAGACTAAAATGATGACGTAATCGTCATCTTTCGTGATTTCGACTATATGTACGAATTGTTTGTACACAGCTAAAGGAACCACTGAGCAAAGTGCAAGCATAAAACAGACACTGTATACACATCAGCGTCAACTTGTCGCGTAGAAAGTAGAAGCATGTTTTCTGTGGAAATCTTATTGCCTCGATTTTTAAAAGCTTTTCCATCGTTACCGTTACGTTGTTTTAGCATCAAATATTCGAGTCGAGTCTCTTCTGACATACAGAGACTTTTCTTACATTGCTTAGAGCTAAACTCAAACACGCAGGTTTTAGCGGAGCGTTTAAAGGTACATTCCAATTCCAAAATGTTGCGTATAATCAAGCAGACTTGCCGGGCGCATCTTGCGCAACATATGTCAGATGATTGAAGAATGAAGGCTTTCACGGCTAATTCTAATGTAATTTAGGTTTTTCGGGCTGTTGTGCCGTAGTCGTATCTTTCTGTCACATCTGCGGTAGCCATTTTGCGCTGTTGGCGAGAGCGAAGTGCTCGGCTTGGCGGGTCGAGTGAAACTGATCGGTTAACTAGACCACGGCTCAACAGTACGAAAAACCTAAATTACATTATGTCAGATGGTCTGAGTCTTCAAAATATTGAGGCACATATGCCCGGTCAGATGCGTTTCCATTTAAAAAACTGCAGCCACACGTTGCGCATACGGGTCTGCAACTTGTTCCGCTTTATAAAGACGACGACAGACAGACTGTCAAAGGAAACGAGTGGCATGATTTTTACTAGCTATACTGGCATATTCGGCATATTTATCACTTCAATAAGTGAGAACAAACAGTATGGTAATGACGAAAATATTCGCATTTGTTACCTCTGGAGCAGCATAGTTGGGTGAGCCACAGCTAGTTCTAAGAAATTCTCCATCCATCATCATGTTTGACAGTCCAAAATCGGCAATCTTAACATGCATGTTGTGGTCAAGCAGCAAGTTCTCTGGCTTCAAATCTCTGTGGACAATCATGTGTCTGTGACAGTAGTCCACACCCGAGATTATCTGCTGGAAAAAACGCCTAGCTTCATGCTCTTGAAGTTTGCCATGCTTCACTATGTAGTCGAATAGCTCTCCACCAGATACATATTCCATTATCATGAAGATATCTGAATGGAAAAGTCGTTTTTAATATAAATGAGTTTTCAAATTCATTAAAAAATTTTATATTTTGTGAGATACCAAGGTTCTGCTTCAAAAATATTGATACTTTTGAGGTAACATTTTGCATCTAAAATATTTTCTGACGTCACTTTTGTTAATTTTCTTGTTGACAATACCAACTAATACCTACTAAACTAATATTTATAAATGCCAAACTGGTATGTATGTTTAGATTCCATGGAAAAACAACTTAACCGATCTTGGTGAAATTTAGAGATACAGATTGGACCCCGATGGGCATAGGCTACCTTTTGTTGCGAAAATATCATGAAGGCGTTAGAATAGGGGGTAAAAGTTACGAAGATGGAATTATTATTGTTCAAGTTCAAGAAAGAAACTTTGGAAATTTCAGCCCCCAAGGGGTGAAGGGGAGATTAACATTTTCTAAACTGAAGAACCTAGATTGGTTCAAATTAAGCCAGATTAGAAATATAAGTACAATTTGTTTATAATTGTATCTTAAAAATAACGAACATTAGAAGATAATTCCAGAAATAATATCCATCAGATAGGGTAAGGGGGGGGGGGTGAATATATCTGGGTAGCTGATAACTTTTTGAGTTAAGTTTATAGAAATTAATTTCAAAAAGAATTGTACCTATGAACATGAAATTAGGGATGGAGGAAGCTTATGTAATGGACATATCAGCTAAGAAAAAATTTTGCGACACTGCCGGATTAAGGACAGTTACAAGTCTGTATGTAACTCCTTTGTTTTTATATATACCTAGAATTTGTCAGGGAGCATAGTTACTATGAGGTTTGGAGGCGGACATGTGATTTGCCTTCAATTACTTCATTACAAGTTTGAACTCGCTCGAGTCACAGTGTGCTATTACTTTTTGCTTCACACTTGGCCACAGTGCAATAGAAACTCTTGTTAAACTTCACTAGGCCTACAGAGATAGTGTTTTGTCGAGAGTCCACGATTTTCCGTGGTTTAAGGCATTTTCAGACGGGAGAGAGTCGAACGAAGATGAACCAAGAACTGATGAAAATATCGACAGAATCCCGAATTTTTTGCGTTCAGATAGTCGGTTGACAGTCAGAATGATTGGGGAAGTGTTAAATTTGACTCACACCACCATCCATCAGATGAAGAACAAATGGGTGTTGCATCAAGATGATGCTCCTTGTGATACAGCAATGTCAATAAATTTTTGGCCAGTAAACATCCCCATGACTCCTCACCCTCCTTATTAGCCTGACTTGAGTCATTGTGTCTTTTTCCTCTTCCTGTATGTGATATTTCGCCTCAAGGGGATTTTGGAACAGTCAAAAACATTCAAATGGCTGTAACCAAGCAGCTGAAGGCTATTACAGTATTGCAGTTACAAAACAGCTATGAGGAGTGTAAGAACCGTATCCACCGCTGTGTGGCTTCAAAAGGAAGTTATTTTGAGGGTGACAATATAAAATTGTAATTATATTTGAATTCAAAAAAAAATGTCACTTAAGGAATGGTTTTGAAACAAGGCCAGATTGAGAGGGTTAAAACTCACTCACAAGTTTGATTAAAATACCTTGGAGTTTATGCTAGATAACTAAATTTGGCAATAATGAGGTTGTGATAAGACATAACCTAAGAATGAATTTTGTAATAGTGCCAAACTAAGGGGTTTAAGGGTTGTCATAATTTTATACATATTTACCTTTTATAACTAGAGGCCCAAAAATTAGTAGAGAGGTAGCTTTTACCATGAAAAATTTGGTTTAGTCCAACATGTTGAAATGAAAATTTTGGTTACCTTAACAAAGTTAAGAGTATAAAATCGTGGGTAACAGCTAGGTTTGAAATATAATCATGAAGCAGCCATATTGTTCTTTACAATCTGCATACAGTATCTACAGTAATGGACAAAAGTTTATAGACAAATATGAATATTTACCTAAATACCATAAGAAAATGAATTCATACTTCAGTGCTCCATAAACAAATGCGTTATTAGTAGAAAAACTAAATTCCTTGTTTTTACATTATCTGCAATGAACACAATACAAGTCTGAATATAAGCACTTTTTTATGAGGGCTAAAATATGTACACAAATTCTTTTCAACATAAGTTTAGTACAGTATCATGTCAGAAGACGATTAGTTTGTGTTCATCAAGTATTGTGCAATAAAATGGGGAATTTTAAGACCATGCCGCATAGTCCAGAAATTTCTTTCGATGTGAAAACTAATATCATTGAGTTATATAAAGATGGTCAATGTCAAGTCCACATTGCCAAAAAGTTTGGGCAATATTGAACAAATATAAACAAAAGGGTATCTTGGAAGCCTCTAAGAGAAGTGGTCGGCCTAGAAAACTAAATGCTAGATCAGTTAGATTAATAAAAGTGATTTCGTTCAAAGATCCGTTTAAAACCCCAAGACAAATAAAAGCCCAAATCGAGACAAAAGGAATTATCAGTGTTTCTACGAAAACTATAAGTAGAAGATTAAATGATTTGAAGTATTTGCACGTCGCCCGAGTAAGAAGCCGTTAATCTCGAGGAAAAACCGTAAGGACCGATTACAATTTGCATGGTTGCATCTTGATTGGAGCATCTGTGACTAGAACAGGGTATGTTTCACTGACGAATCCAAGTTCAATATGTTTGGATCAGATGTTGTTCATTATATTAGACGTCCTAGTGGACAAGGATTGAACCCCAAGTACACTTTGCCCACTGTCAAATATGGAGGCGGGTCTGTTATGCTTTGGGGGTGCTTTTCGGGGTTTGGAATGGGGCCTTTACATAGAATAGATGCATTATGGATAAGTTTGTATACACAGACATACTAAAGCATGTCGGAAGACAATATGCCCTTAAGATCAATCTTCCAGCAAGATAATGACCCGAAGCACACTTAAAATCTCGCAAAGAAATTCTTTCTGGATGGAAAAATACCAGTTCTTAAATGGCCTTCACAGTCTCCCGATATAAACCCCATTGAAAATCTATGGAAATACTTAGATAAGCAAATACGAGATAAAAATTATTCAAACAAGGATGAACTTTTTGCCACTTTATAGCAAAAGTGGAGACAGATTGATGAATCCTATATCAAGAAACTTCTACAATCTATGCCGAGACGATGCCAGGCGGTGATTGATAATAATGGTTATGCTACAAAATATTAACACAAACATGGTTGGTTTTCTATAATTCAATAAACTTTGCCTCTTTTTGCTATAATGGTTTTGCTTTCTCTATATATTTAAGTCCTTTATAGTTTAAGTTTTTTTCAATTAATTTTTATTGAATGGAGTCTAAGGAATTTTTTTATGTATTATGTATTAATAAAATAAGTTAAAAAATAAATACAGCACAATATTAACTTGTCTATATACTTTCGTCCATTACTGAATTTACTTAATTCTAACTAACTCTCACAAAAGGATCAGTGTTGCTGGGCAGTATGAGGCAGTACAAAGTTATGACTGTATTGATTCATAATACTTTCTTATGGATTATAATAATATCACTGAACAATCAGTTAATATTTGTCACATTTTGCAGTGGAAAATGGTGTAAGGGCGTACTTGGCTTAGATATCATTTTCTATTAGTTGACTTGTGTTAGGTTGAAAAAATTAATGTTTTTTTTTCCATGTTTAGAGTAATATCTGTGGTCACACATTTTATTGTCACAATTAATTATGTCAAATGTATAATAATTATGTTATTATTATCAAAATTAAGCTATGATATCTTAATAAATATGGTGACAGTAGCATTAGACTATCCAATGTTAAGCTTGAATTACTCTCTCAATCCCATAAGTAATCATTGTAAAAGTGTCAATAAGTAACATTATAAAATTATAATGTTGCTTATTTGCCAACATCAACACATGCTGGGTTTCTAGGTGCTCATTGTGCAGCATTTGCCTTACAGTTCCAATACACACAGTCCTGTTAACTAAGCCAGATTTGAAACCCACCTGTTGGCGTACTGATAACTTGGTATAACTTAATAATATGTGGATGTCTAAACAACTTCAAGTTTTGTATCTCTCTCCTGATTTTTCCCACAACATCCAGACTTTTGATTTTCTGTCTATTAAGGATTTTTACAGCCACCTGCAAATTGGATTACATATTGAAATATATCATTTTAGATTCAGCTGACTGTGAACAGGTTTGCCGAAATTTAAAATGAATTATTCCAAATGACTGACCTTGTGTTTAGTAAGCTGATGTTCCCCAATTTTTACTTTTCCAAAGGTGCCAACACCCAGAGTAGGACCCAGGATGTAGTGGCCAATTTTCACAGGGGGCTGGGCCCCTTGTTTGGTGCCCTCAGACATTTTGGGCTGCTTTATTATTATTGTTGCAAAAGGACAAGCATAAACATGCAGCTGAAATATCGCTTACAAATCAAGATGTAAATGATGTTTATCTGTCAAAGATGGTCTGTTTAGATCGCTACCAAGTATCGACTTCAAAACAAACTCGATAAAATGACAAATCACATGCAAAAATAGAAAAAAACACATCAAAAATGTAAATTGCAAGAAACTCGACTCTCAGCCTAAAAAAATAGATGACAGTTCTGAACCACAAAATCTGTCAACTGTCAACCTCCTGAACTTATGATGAATGACATCGGAAACGCTCGATACTCAAACCACAGCCTTCTTAAACTAACAAGCCGTGCTCATATATGTGGCAACGTCGCATCAGCTGTTATGGGTAGTCCGACGCGCTGCGGTGGTCTGACGACTACAATAGGCTAATCCAGGCTGTGGCTAATCTAATCACAATACGGGTATGCAACTATGCAGGGGTATGCAGAGACTGCAGCAGAGTATATAAAATATGTTGAAAATTATAATATAATTTCCTAAGCTGATAGTATGGCATGAGAGTTTTTATTTAGTATAGTGGTGAAATAAAACAAATTAAATAACTGCAAAACATACAATATTTATTAGAAAGAAATTTTATAAAAGTTCCTTGAGCATCAACATATTACTATCTAGAACACAATTTTTAACTACACAACTTAAGCTTAAATGAGATATAATATAATATAATATTTCATATACATAGGTTAACTCATTTATGAAAGGTACACATCTTTCTTTTCTTCTGTGAGTTATGCGAGTCTGCAAGCTTTTTATTTTTCAGTTTTTGATTTTCAATATTAGCATTATTTTTATTTTTAACATAGTTATTCAGAAAAATGTTGCTGAAAATGGAGCAAATCATATTCAGAATTTTTTCATATTTCCTATTACAAATTTTACATGTTTGTGCAAAATCATCATAATAATGATCCGATTTTATACTTTCAATTGTGAGCTGACACAGAAGAAGTTTCTGTTGACGACACCCAATAAATTTAACTTCACAATCTTTATTACCCATTATGAATTGCATTATTGAAGCCATATGGTAGAAAATATAAGAAACTCGTTCAGAAGGTATTGATAAACCATTTCGCTGGAGGTAATCGAAGTAATCATTCCCTGTTAATTTTCCTTTATCCATGCGTACAAGGGAAATGCAGCTTTCACAGTTGTTAAGTTTTTTTGTTATTGCATGACTCGCATATCCAGAAGTATATATTTTTGTTGATTCATCAACATCCACAACTTCATTTCCTCTTAAAAAAACCTTAACATGTAGGGACTCATCAATTTTAATTGTATTATTCACTGTCAAGCACTCACCGATGGTTAAGTTGTAAAAGTACAAGTTGTGGTCATGTAGTTTATATTCCCAGTTAGAAATACATTGTTTTTCAAAATTCTCCTTCAAATCAGAGAAAGAAGATATGATATCAGTTTTTAAAAAGTTTTCAATTTCTTCTTCTTGCCTTTGGATAATGGCTTCTCTTCTTTTTTCGGGGTCAGTCCTTTTTGCTTTGGTTTCAAGCGATAGATATTTTGGGAGATTGCAAAACTTACTTGGAACAGCGTTCTGGTTTAATTTGGGGTATTTCAGAGGTATTTTATTTATTTGTCCATTGGGCAAAGTAAATTCACTGAACCGCACAATATCACTGTCACAAAAATGGTTGGCACAAACTGCACTACTTTTTGTAGGAATCCAGTCTTTTCTTGGTATGGCCCTGATCCATTTTTCCAACAGCTCTTGTTCTTTTGGGAATGAAAATGTAGAGACAGGATCCTCAGCTTTCAGAGTGGTATCATAGTTTCCCTTACAACCAGGAACACAACACCGACGAGGCATCTAAAACAATAGACAGTTGTATTTATTAATTGATTCAAATAATTCTAAACAGATACAACTATAGAGAAACACCATATATATGATTTAAAGCAGAGAAATATGTTCAAAAACATAACTACTACATTTTTTTGGAATATTTTACAGGAAAAACGCTTTTTGCATACATAACCTAGAAAAGAACATTTATGCAGTTTTATATGAACTTACCGTAATTGATAATGATGTATACACACTTTTTGATGAAATCTGTTATTCGATCAATAACATATCCCTTTTTCGAGGAAAGATACTCAAATATAACACCTTATTTTGCTCATACACACCGTGAACACAATCCAAACAATGGGCGTGGGAGACAATTATCGGACTACCATGCATTGTTGCCAGTTTTCTTCAGCATGGCTTGTTAGTTTAAGAAGGCTGTGCTCAAACTATCGAATTCTTAAGGCCGGTCCAGGCGCTGCGTTTTGCACAACCTTTTGTCTGCGCAAAGACGGAATGAAAACTTGCAATTTTTATAGCGTCTACTTGACAGTTGATATCTCCATGGAGGAGGTACTCTGGTAAATTCTGGCAGAGCGTCTTGTTAAAAAAAGATTGGGATGTCTAAAACTAATTGACATTCAAAGTGGTCGCGGAAGTGGCTTCTAAATAGACAGCACTTTTCCCATATTAGATTACTGAGTTACGTGATGAACCTAATGATTGACGGAATTACTTGACAATGGACATGAACACGTATACTTATTTATTGGAATTAGTGATACCGCATATATCATCAAAGAATATACTTGTATGAGAACAGCAATATAAGCACATGAAAAGCTAACAGCAACTTTAAGATTTTTGGCAACTGGAAGGGGTTACAAAGACTTAGAATTCGTCCACTGCAGACTCTTTATTTTCATCCAAGGTATTCCTAGACTGCTTTGGTGTCTTCTAATTATTTCGGAAATGTAACAAATCAAAATACCAGAGAGATGGTTTGCAGATTTCGGCTTCTCCACCCCCAGATCGAATCGGCTTAACTTTTGCCAATTCTTCTCAAAGAATTAATATTTTTACAACTGTTTCTCTGTTTGCGGCTGCAGCATCAATTTCTTTGAATTTTTATACTAAACTCTCTCAAGCCTCCCCCTTTTTATCCGTGCCACTGTACTCTTTGAATCTGTTACACCAAATGCATTCTTTGAGAAACTCTCGAGAACATTAGCGAAGGTCAGCCATTTGTACCCTGATGAATAATTGAAACTGAGGAACAAAATGAATCGGAGAACGATGCTACCGTCTACATGCGGTGACTTGTCTGCACAGTTACAAAATATATCTATGCTCCCTAGCTCAGTTATCGCTGCAACTGTGACATCTATGCCCTGGATTCAAAACTGCGCACTTTTCCAATCTATACGCAACGTTTTATCTGCGGTGAACTGTGCAGACCAAAGGTTGTGTTAAAAAAAGCGTCTGGACTGGCCTTTACGTTCATATTGAAAACTAAGATGTACCATTTTCAGTCGAAATGATTAATTGTTAAAGATTTGTCTGGATACATAGGGTTCATGTTGCTCAAAATTATGACATTGCTTCCTCCGAACGGAAGCTTGTTCGATTTTGATAGAAGATTAAAAAAAATACCGACACTACGATGAACGAAAGTTTGGGATTGTTTCTTGCGGTGATACATAATCAATAATCAAATTCAAGCGGATAACCAAATGAAAATGGTATTTACCATTTTGGATTGGTATTTACCGATCCGTCCAAGCGAGTGTGGTTATCAGTTTGGTTATAAGATCCGTGACGTCATGAATCAGCTGTTATATGTCATAGTTATCACCGCAAAATTGTGGTATTTACCCAACTCAGGAGTAGTTTTATATTTCTGGTTATTATTTGACATGTGACAAGTTAGAATTTTGCCGGGTATTGGATATTTTTATTGTACTTCAGATTCATTTTTGGGAAACTTGATACAGGCTGACTTCAGTTTTAACATAAGAAAGCACCTTATTATTTATAATCATTACTGTTGTTGGGGACACTTTAAATCTAGTTCCTACGCTTAACAAAGTATCCTGTATAGCCACAAGAATATTAAAATATAGCCATATAAACTCACTTTTGTTAATATCTTTTCTTCATCGCTTTTTCATCATTTCTGCTATATCAATAAATATTTTCTTTGACATGCGGAGAAGTTTAGAGAATTGAAAGTTACCACAGCTACAAAGCCATGGTTCCATCAGTAAAAATGTTTTTCTGAAAAAAAACATTCCTGCTATTAATATTATGAAATTTTTCTTTTTTTCAACTTTCCATACCCCGTTGTAGACAAAAAAGCACTGATTATTAAGTGATAATAAAAATAATCAGAAACTATATACGCGCTTTTCTAAAATGCAACAAACCGCGGTTTAAACCTACGCGTTCAAGCGATTCGAGTAAATGACGTCATCATCCCGTGTGTCATCTTGAACCATAATACGGAAATTTCGGTTATTTGCTTGGATTTGATTTGGATTTGATTCATGTGTCTTGCGGCTTGCGGTTGAAAGAATGACAGTAATGACGGATATCATATGGACTCGTCTGTGTGTGTACACAACTGTGGTACACAACACAAAAGGACAAAAACTTGCTTTTGGCCAAGCCACAAAGCCACACGTGGACTGTAATGCGCTCGTATAATTTTAGATAACACAATGTTGGCCAGCCACGTACATTCTACAAATAATGCAGACCAAGACTCTGCGGGTGAACCATTGTCGGCCTCGCCCACAAGAACTGGTATAATGCGCAAGCTGTCTCGTGTGTTTTCAGTGCCCCGATTGGGACAGGGCACTAATAGCTTAGGAACCAGTAGCTTGAGATATGAGGAATTTGGTGCCTTCTCTGAGGACTTATCCTCTAGGACCCTCGGAACTTTTGCAGGGGTTTTTGCACCAGTTACACTGTCTATGTTTTCTGCTCTCATCTTCCTCAGAATGGGTGAGTCATTGGGTTAACAAGTGGGCGTTTGAACGAAATAAGAAGAAGCAACATGGTCTAAAAAGCCAAATTCTCAAAAACCGAACCAGGGGGTCTCCAGAGATATTGAGGTTTATCATCAAAGAGCAAAGCAAAGTCTTTTGACATCCATAATTGGGGTTGATATGAAATAGTTATTAAATCATGTACATCACCAGTCAAAAACACTTGAAAAAAAATGCAATTGGAAACACCTGTTGAATGTACACTACAATGTACAATAACCTTTAACATCTCATGCCCCTTTTTTCAACAGCCTGTCATGTATAGAGATGACTGAAAAACAATGTTATCAGTTCTCTTTTTTGCAAAAAATTCATTTTTATGCATTTTTCTTCAATGACAACTTGTTGATAAATAATAGTAGGTACAGCTCTAAAATTGTATGAGAATTTTTCACTTTTATGGAAGAGTTGAACAGATGATTACTTTTCTTCTTATCACTTTCTCTCTTCAATAAATCTTTTTCTTAAAAATGAGGTTCCAAGAAAATCAGGGACTTTTTTAAGAGAAAAAGTGATAAGAATAAATGTAATAACTCACTCATTACTGCTATAAAAGTGGAATTTTTATTAACAAGTTATGATTGAAGAAAAAATGTACAATAAACTGCACAAAAAATGCGTTTTCTTGACCAAAAAAATTGATGACATCATTTTTTAGTGATCTCTATACACACTATAGAATAAAATCAGGGGACATGCAACCTTAATAGCTATTTTCTTTGAAAATACCATTTCCTGTTCTTTAAAATTAGCATAGAATCATGAAAAATGACAGGTCACCTCACAACAGTGATAATTTCTCATCAAAATAATAAATTTAAAAATAGATTTCAAAAACCCACAGGTGTTGAAAAAGATGGAAAGATATTAACTATTTTAGCTTTTGAGCCACTAAGGGTACAATCTATGTACAGTTTACTGCCTAATCCCAGTTTATCCATCAAGATCAACTTTTTCATTCACTCTCCAATAACTCTATTTTCATCTGTATGTTTGTTTACTATGTAAAAGTTAGGTAAATAAGTAGTATTTTTGAAAATAAGTTATTCCTGTGGAAGTGGCTAATTTTTTACAGAGAATTCACTTTTAATATTTCCTGTATCATCCAGCTGGTAAATGCAGGGAAATGACAATATACAAAAAAATATTATCCTAGAAAACCATTATTTCATATCACTACCTATTTGATAAATCATCTGTTTGATGATGATTTTTTAAACTTGTGGATTGTTTTCAGGATATATTGTAGGAAATGCAGGGCTGCTTACCACTATTGGTCAGTTTGTGATAGCATACATCATCTTGGTTTTTACTGTGATGTCAGTATGTGCAATTTCAACCAATGGAGCTGTTGAGGGAGGTGGAGCATACTGTATCCTTTTATAAGAATGAGGTAGACAATAGAAATATAATCATTTGTAAAACTAGAGACAGGGTTTTATAAAAAAACGAATAGAAAACAAATCCCAGGAATGCTGAAAACTAATATTGCTTAAATTTTTTTCTTGGTATATTAAGAGCTTCAAAATCAACCTAAATTGTATTCTGGTGGAACAGTATCTTGGAACACTGTTAAAATGGAATAGGGTGCAACAATATTCAAACACTTGGAACAATTATAATAAAGAAATCGAAACAGGCTTTTCTTGTAAAGTATTCTGCTTAACTCTTTCAAAGTTATGATCAGCAGGACTTTGGGTCCAGAATTTGGAGGATCAATAGGCACATTGTTCTTTTTTGCAAACATTGTCAGTAGTGCCCTCTGTATCTCAGGATGTGTTGAAGGATTGATGGAAAACTTTGGCCCAACAGGTAAGCTTGATTTTTTACACATTATAAGTGCATTGCATGTGTGTTTGAATATACTAACTTGTAAGTCTACATTTGTTGATACAAGTTTACAAAACAATGCATTTAAAATTCCTTGTGTTACTGTCTGATCAACCAATATTATTTTCTCTTTGATGAACTGGAAATGCATTTAAGCAGCATCTCAGTTATCCTGCACTCTTATTGGCCTATTGCTACCCATCTACTAGTTTGTTGGCCAATAACATCTCAGGATTTTACAGCACCAGCATTTGTTTTGATATACTACAAAGACATTATGCATAGATTTACTTTTATATTTCAGGATATTTGAAGCCAGATTTGATCCAAGAAGGCCGCTGGTGGGGTTTCTTATACTGTACATGTTTGAACATCCTAAACCTGTTGGTTTGTCTTATTGGCGCATCTATGTTTGCTAAGACTACCGTTTTCATTTTGATCCTTGTTTGTGGATGCTTAGGTATCATGTTTTTCAGTTTCCTGTATGAAGGACCAAGACAGGTACAGTTATTTAAATTTAATTGAAAAAATATAAGAAGAAAGCTAATACTGTAGATAAATGTGTCGTGTTGCATGAAGTAAAAGCGTAATTTTCACTGTATACTTAGTAGAGTAGAGGAATATTTATTTTTTGATCAACATTGGGGTGAAGTGAAAACTGTATCTTTTCATTTAGTTGCATCCAATATTTTTACTACTGACACATGAAGCATATCAAAAATATAGATAATTGGACGAAGTTACAAGGTACACAGAATAATAATAAAAAATTACCAACATATTCAAAATAATAGTTATGATACTCATTCATTAAAACATCCGAAAATATTTTTAAAAATTTTAGGTCCAGATTCCATTTTCAAATAAAAACCTGACAAATGGTACCATTCCCGTGTTTGCCAACTATACTGGATTAAGAGGGAGTACTCTGCATGACAACTGGTGGCCACAGTATGCAAAGGACTACACTGCCAATGATGAACTGGTTACATTTTCGACAGTATTTGGAGTTTTGTTTTCAGGTGTTACAGGAATAATGGCTGGAGCTAACATGAGTGGTTAGTTAGTATTCCCATTAACACGTTTCTTAAAAAATTAACGTTTTCCAACAAATAACTGAATAAAAATACTATTTAGGCCTTCCATCGCGATTCTTTACCTAAATTAAAAACAGTACACTGCATTTTAGGTAAAAGTGACACACAGTGTCCAGAGATCTATTGGTGTAAGCATATCAACAGGTTTTTACAAACTAAAAAAGTATCATTGAAGCTACATTTTGTTGTATGGGATTTTTCTGGAGGGATGTTTTTATGCAAAAGTTTATATTAATGGGTATAGAGTGCTTTTCTGAAATATCCCATGTACGACTTGCTCTTTGAACGGGTTAAGTTAGCAAGCTGAAATTCGGATTAATGGAATTGATGCATGAATTCTGAATTTTGGTTTAAAAAGGTAGTTGAAAATTTTAAGATGAGAGAACATTTTTTAGATGGAATGTCCTGTCGTGTGATACCTCATTTTTAAGCCATTCGTGGGTACTCATACCCATAGAATATAAAATCACCAACTTTAAAAATGACAGACTGACATGATGTCAAACTTTAGCGTTTTTGTATGTACATTGCATTGCTTATGACTCAGCAACAAATGATCACATAACTATCGTCCTCTCTTGAAAGGGTTTATCCAATCTGAAATGAATAGATTATCTAAATGAACAACTTCAATATGTCGTGATACAAAATAAACATTCAGAAAAAAAGCTTATTTATTCCAGCGTGCCTCAGTGATCCATATTACAGCCTCTTCTGTTCCTCATATACACTTTTGATATCGCTAACACTCTTCAACATTGTTCAAGTCAGTCTTATGCTGATGATATTCAAGTTTCCTATGGTTAGTCTCCGAATAACTACGACATGGCTAATTTAGATTTACAATGTATATGTACATATGCCACAAAGCACAATTTACGACTTAACGCATCCAAATCGACAGTTTAATTTTTTTGCTTCAAGAAAAAGCGTGCTTTCCCCAAAGCAAAATTAAACATATCAATCAATAATACCTTACTTACGTATTCCCATTATGCAAAGAATTTAGGCTTATATTTAGATGAAGATATCAGGTTCCAGGAGCATGTTAGCCATGTGTATATTTTTCTATATACTCCAATTACCACGAAGGCCTAAACACCCATGGTGTACCGTGGGGCTATAGGGGGATACAGGGGAAAAGGGGGGACGTCACACGGACTCTGGCGAGGCAACACGTGTGCATGCAACATGCACACAGTCTGGCCCCGCCTACGAGATCCGCCGGGTGGTACCTCCGCGTTTGAGACCGTCTACCGCCTACGGACAATCACAACATCCATAGCCAAGAGAAAAATTTCTCTTTGGACTAGATTCGAACCCGCACAGCGCACGGCGACTGATCAAGAGACCGAAGAGTCTACCACTGCGGCCACCGCTGCTGCCTAGGTCTAACATAGGTTTAGTTATCTCAAACTAAGACTTCTATATGCAAATAAATCTGTATTAAAAAGAAACATTAAAAAAATGTTATATGTGTCGGTGATATTCTGGACAAAATACAGACAGCAAAAAATTCAAAATACATGCTCCCGCTATATAAACAATCGCTTCCATGAATTGGTTAAAAATATCTGATATATTCAAAGACAGCTTTTTGTCACATTTGTGATCGGAATATTAAATACCTCTGTTCCCTCTCTAGGAAAAGTATGTTTATAGGAATTTCAACGCTCTTTCACGTACAATGCGGTAAAATTGATTTCCAAAAAACCAATAAGTTCTGTTTATTAAATTCTTGTTTATTTTTTTTCTCCCTTCAGTTTAAATCATATGTTCATCCTATGTATCTTCTTGATGCGTAGGATTTTTACAAAGGCCGATTAGGCAATATACTTTTGGATTACATTTTTTTTTCTTCTACTGATTATTTTCTTTTAGGCTAAGTTTTAGGTTAGCGTAGCAATAAGCTTACTACATGGTTAAGTATGAATCGCATTGGTCAGACTCGCCAATTGGAACTATACCACTTTATGTACTTGTTTTGAATGTAATAAAATATGAAAGATTCCAGTCGAAAAAATTGTCAAAATATGACATTTTTGTTAAGCTGGATGTTTAATTTTCTATTCCACATTCAAATAGACCCAAAAGAAAAAAATTTACATAACATGCCATAGTTTTGATAATTAGCTGTTGAGGTACAAGCGATTCAATATAATATAAAAAACGCTCTAATTTAACAGTCTGCTAGTCCGCCATTTACGAATAGTGCTATAAAGTACAACTGAGGAGCTTCAAAATAAACTATAATAGGGCCTTTCATTCAATTAAAAAAAAAATCAGGATGTCGCCCAGCCACCACCCTGAAATTTTTGACTGTTAGTTTTGTATTAAAATATAGTAATCATTTGTCAATTCCACCATTCTGAATTTCAGCTTTCTAACTTGACCCGTTCAAAAATTACATACGATGGCGGCCTTTCTGAAAAGAACTGGATATTTATTCTATCAATTTTATCCTAAGTTATGCTACAACAAATGTCCCAATAAAAATCGTGAAAACTCTTTCCAGTTTCAAGTTATAAATTCTTGGGATTCGGTCAACTTAACATTTCTTAAAAACGACGTTTTGGCGACTTTAAACGCCATCTTCAGGGACATGTTAGTTTCTAGAACTAAACAAAGGCATCAGAAAATCATCATTTTTATTTCATACTTATGCTTATCAATCCTTTTCTTTTCGATAGCGGGCTTTAGCTTTGAAAATATGTTTTTACTTGTTGCACCAGGTTTATGTGCTACATGAACTTTGTGTTTCAAATATACTTTATATTTTCAGATAGACGTTCGTCAGCGCGTTGTTTTTTTTATAACTTGGGTGTACTCTCTTCTTTATGCTGGCATCAACAAAAGTTCGGGGGTAGTTATTCTGGGAAAGAATCTCTGTCGCTTTCTTTTAGTTTTTTTTGAATGTGTCTAATTTTAATGGGCTCTGTTTTTAATTTTTCAGGCGAATTAAAGAATCCTGGCAAATCAATCCCGTGGGGAACACTTTCAGCAGTGGGATTTACATTTTTGGTCTACTTGGGCTGTTCAGTATTGGTGTCAGCCACTTGCACGGCGTACTTATTGCAAAACAACTATCTGTTTTTGACGGGCGTGAGCATTTGGCCTGCCAGCGTCGCTATTGGTCTACTGACGGCCACATGGTCCGCTGCGCTGAGTAACGTCATTGGAGGGTCTAGGGTACTGGAAGCATTAGCAAAGGATAACGTGTTTGGTAAGAAACATGTGCTGTAGATATGAAACGAAACACACGACTCAGTTCATCTGTAAAACTCTGCAAATCGACAGTCATATTATGCCGTGCCTAATGAGAATGCCATAGTCAATAATGTGTCATCTTTGGATTTACGATATCTTTTCCTAATAAAAATACTCATTTTATAATGTATAATGTGTTATAATGTATAACGTGCTACAACATTGGCGTGTTTGCCATATTTAAGTTTGAGTCACAATTTTCTCTAAAAGAGTTTTTGTTGTTTTGGATAATGGATTGATGTTTACATACCCGGAATTTGATGAACGTTCTATGAATTTCATTTTGAATTGTAACTGGATGAGTTTTTCTCTAATCACTTATAGTACAAAAACCGCTAGGAGAAAATAAAGGTCATTTTATGATTTCCAGGTATTTGTGACGGTTTATGGGAATGCTGTGCAAGTCAAAATTCACTTCAATATTTTTCAATTTTGTGAATACTCAACCCTGTCTTTGCGTAATTTCGTATCACTTACTGTTTTCAAGATTCTAGTGGTAAAACTCTAGTTTGAAACATATGATAAGGTCTGTATTGCTCAAATGAGGAGATATAGTATTATTCAAGAAACTTGATGATCTTATGCGATATAATTTTGTTCGAAATGACCCGTTAAAGCATGGGTCACACGTTAGTGATTGTAACTTTCTTTGAAGGTTCCGCGTTAAACTTCATCACACGCGGTACCTGGAAAGGAAATCCAGTAGCAGCAGTGGTAGTAAGCGCCGTGTTGGTCCAGTTTGTCTTACTAATCGGCTCGCTAAATTTGATCGCTCAGCTTAACTCAGTTCTCTTCCTGCTCAGCTATTTGGCTACTAATTTGGCGTGCTTAGGACTTGAGCTAGCGGGAGCTCCTAATTTTAGACCTACCTTCATGTTCTTCAGCTGGCATACGGCACTTATTGGTAAGTAATATGTTTTTATGAAACTTAACTGTCTAGTGAGAAACTGAATACCAAAAGCACGTTTTAGATCAACGAGTCCTTAATTCATCATACACGTTGTTGTTTCCCGAAGAAGTTTCCGAATTAATGGTACAAACAAGTATTCTTTGGTCTAGAAAAGAATAACAATAGATTGAAGTTTCAAACTAAGGTAGTTCGATTAAACTGAACTGTATCTAATGCTTGTAATGCCTGGTTCGAATTTCACCTTTGTGAGAGTTTGATAAATCGAATTTCGGAAATGTAATGTATTCGTCTTTTCAAGGTCTCCTGGGAACGCTGATAATGATGATGGTGATAAGCCCCATTTATGCATCTTGCAGTATTTTGCTCTGCCTGCTACTAGTAGTCTTCCTACACCTCTTTTCGCCATCTAAAGAAGCAGATTGGGGAAGTATTTCACAGGCACTAATTTTCCATCAGGTTAGTAACTCCATTTAAGCATAATTTTCTTTGCTATCACTTCCTAAACAAAAAAAGTATTGCGACCTTAAGAATTTATTTTTCGTTGAATGTACCGTGCGCTAATGCTGTATTTATGATAAGCATTAGATTATCCTGGTGGAGTTATTAGCGAAAAATGATCAACAAACTTCGATTTTAAACGATTTTCTTGTTAATAGGCATCTTTTGGAGCAACCAAAAGCAACTTATTTTAGGAAGTAGTTTTAATAATAATGTTAATACGTGGAAACTATTAAATCATTCTACTTCATTATATTTTTATATACTTTTCTAGGTTCGAAAATATCTTCTGTTGTTGGACATACGTAAGGATCACGTGAAATTTTGGCGCCCCCAAGTTCTTTTACTTGTGAATAGTCCACGTACTGCTTGTCCTTTGATTGACTTTATCAATGACCTCAAAAAAGGCGGACTGTACGTATTAGGACATGTAGAGGTACAAGAAGGTGAAATGATAGAAAAGCCGCAAGGAAATGAAGCAGAACAAGGAGAAAATGAAGAGGCGAAGGTTGATCCTACTGTCACGCAGACCATACACTGGCTCAATCTTGTAGATCATCTAAAGGTATTTTTTCAGTTGCTTTACAGTGTTGGGTAAATGAAAAATCAATGAGATTTCAGGTAAAAGCATTCGTGGAACTGACAGTTGCAGATAACGTGAGGACTGGTATGCAGCATTTAGTAAGACTGAGTGGTATGGGAGCAATGAAGCCAAATACCGTTATACTTGGATTTTTAGACAAAGATGATCCAACAGATTTTTTGTCAACGTATGTCAGTTTTCAAAAATAACATAAGAATTAGAAGTTTGTTAGGTGTGGACACAATCGAAGCATTCAAAAAACGATGGTTTTATGACTCTGGTTAAAACATCTAATGAACACTAAGAATGCTTCAAGTGATTTAGACATCTGAATGCGCCTAATATTTAACATTGAAGATTATAATTAAAATAATCAATAATTTCCATTCTTCCATATTCATCAAATTACAGTACTATTCCAAATTACATTTTAACTGAGAGATCTTGTTTTGAGTAAACCACGTGTTTTAGTTGTAATGTGACACGTCGTTTCAAACTACATGTAACAATACTTACTTTTTCCTTGTAAAATATTATTTTCAGTCACTGGTCCGCCTATTATAATGAAGACTTTGAAAACGATGTATTTCCGATAAGGAGCCAAAAATCTGTGTCTCCATTAGAATACGTTCAAATGATGGGCGATGTCCTCAGAATGAAAAAGAACCTCTGCCTGTGTAGGAATTTCAGCAAGCTGAAGAAAGATGTTAAAAGGTAAGTTATAATAAAAAACTAATCCTTTTTATCATTTTGATATTTTAACTATGACTGAAACAAGATGCATTTTCAGAATTCTTGTTGAACATTCAAACATTGTATTGTGTTTACATTGTGATTAGAATTAATTTTTAAGGTGATCAAAAATTAGATGTTTTTTAATCCCAGTTTTATTTTTACGAGTTGCTCGGTATTGAGGTTCCAAGAGTTTTTACCAACCATTCTCACTGAATTTACAACTGCGACATTAAACCGACCGCAATTCGACCTCAACAACACTCGGCACATGTATTCAAATTTAAGCGTCCTCACCAAAGTGAGGGCAACCGCTCAGTTGCTCCGTGGTTGCTGGCACTGCCGTTGCTAGTCGATTTGGAGTAGACAAAAGATGCCATCTGTGGATGTCATTGTGACACTTCAGCTAACCTTTCGATCTTATCCCCAAAAAATCATTAATAGTCCAATATAAATACTTCTCAATAGCGTTTGTGTAATCTTTGAAGGTATTCAGTTGGAGTAGCAGTGTTAAAAACCCTCTAAAATTTAAACATATTTGACAATTGGAGATATTCAAACGATAATGAAGCTTCATCTTAAGTTTTCAAATAAAAGTGTGTTACACCCTTTTCCATCCTGCTTTCAAAGCGTAAGATGAAGGGGCTTCATTATCGTTAGATATTTCCGATCGTAAAAAATATTTTAAAATTTTTGGTTTTATTAACAGCTAAATAAAAGCTTTTTTAGAAAATATATTTTATGTCATTTATAGTTTACTTTTTAGTATTTATGATGCCAAATAAATAGTAATTTTCATATATTTAATCGATAGGACTCCATAAAACTTCGTACTTTATTTGAATTATCAAAATTTTGATAGATATAAATCATATAATGATAAAAAAATTAGAATGACGTTTTTTGCTTTCTCTCATTAAGCACTTAAATTTGGTACCCATATCATATTATTGGTGACCATAAATTTAATAGTGGCCTCCATGTTAGATTTAGAAAGACGTTACTTTGCTCATTTAGTTTCTCTCATCAAGCCCTTCCATTTTATACACATGTCATCGGGGTTACTTTGAAGAATGTAAATCGTTGTTTTGCAGCTGCCGCCATATTGGATTTAGAATAACGTAACATTGTGTTTCTCTCATCACGCCCTTTCATTTGACACCCATGTCGTATGGGTTACTTTGGAAATTTTGAATGGCAATTTTGTAGCATCAGCCATATTGAATTAAAATTGGCGGCATGTTGTAGTGCCGCGCGAAACAAACGTGTGTACAAAATTTCAGCTCAATTGATTAAGTTACTGGTTCAAAATTCAGTTCTGAGATTTATCCCACGCTTGCATACTAATAAACATGTCAAGTTAAAAATTTGTATATAGTCTATTTATTTTTCGCATTCAAATGAGGCCGCCAGCTGCTTAGCTGTTTCTTTCGGTGAAAACAAAAGATACGCAACTGAAGTCGAAATCGGGTTGCCGTCGTGTTGCTTTTAGTGAAAATAGTGCCTTGGCGGTGCAAAATTAATAAAAACCCTATTAATTGAATCGTTGGTCTATATATTTTTGGCCAAGCCAAAAGGCGCTTTCCAGATATTTAAAGCATGTGCGCATAATTTGTACTCAAGTTATATGTGGGAACTACTAGGTCAATCTAGTTGACTCAGTGCTTGCCTATCACCACGGAAGCGCAATGAGCGACTGTTCATATTTTGACGTTTCAAGAGTTAGAAGATATCGCGATTTCAGCAGCATAGTATGCATAAGCATGCATACAGTGTGTCCCAGATTCGCTTCTCTATACAAGAATCTCGGCTCCTGTTATCCCTAAAGCAAAGGTTAAATGGGGAAAGTTTTAGAGGAAACTTAGTGCTTTTGATAGCCGGCTTACGATCGGTCAATTGGTTTTGAAAATATCAGCGAAAAACCGAAAATGGCGGAATTTGTTTTTTTGCAAGTAAATCCAAAACGGTTAATTTGACAACTGTCAAAATGTGGCCTTATTCGGACATTTTTTAAACAACAATAAGATAACATGTATGACATGTCTCAATCGTCTTTTGTTTTCCAGCAACCCGCCTTAAATTTCATTTTTCTTATGGCCGCCATATTGGATTTTTTGATTTGTTACAAAAAATGTCCAGTCTCTTGATGTCCCACAAGTGCATACAAGATTGGAGCATCACCGAAATATTACACGTAATGTTATGTATTAGTTTTATTCTAAGGAGGCCATGATTTATTTGTCAGAAAATAACATTAATGAGTAAGGCATAAAAAACACATAAACGCTTTGAATTTTGAATAGATCATTAACGTTAACATCGACTTCTCAACAAGTCAAGTATTTTGGGACAAATTTACAACTATGAGTGTGAAAAAAACAAGTCAGAAAAATCGTCGTAGATTTATTTTACACTAACAAACATTTTACAAAATTGTAATGTAATGTAAAATCTAATTATGTAAGTGGGTATTAATTTACGGATTTGCAAAATAACGTCTATTTACATCCAGACATTTTTGACAATTGGTGAGTGTTTTTCGTAGAATCTTAGATAGTGTATTTCTGTCAATGTTTCTAACTGTGCTCAAAATTGTTTGTCTCAGAATGTCTATGCTAGCGGGAGGATCAAATTCATAGACCTCATTCTTTGTGTGAACCCAGAGCTCGAAATCAAAGGATGAAAGGTCAGGTGATCTAGGATTCCAAGATATTGAACCATTTAAGGAAATCATTCTTTCATCAAATTGCTCTCTTAAAAAGTTCCTGACTTGAATGGTGTCGTGAGCCGGACATCCATCCTGTTGAAAAGAGGTTCTTCTAAAGTCATATTTGGTTAGACTAGCTCGTAAAGCCGGCACAACCTGGTTTTGCAAAAGCTCTATGTACATACATCTGTCCGTTTAGCTTGTAGTCAGACAAAAATGGTCCTATAAGTCGATTTCCTGAAATGATTAATACCTAATTTCAAATAGGTGCAGGCAAGTTAGGTTAAATTACCAATGACCCTACACCAAACGTTCGTTCCAAATCTGGTCTGTAGACGTCTCTGCCACTTCGTGAGGGTTTTCTACAGCCCAATGCTGAGTGTTGTGCTTGTTAAAAACCCCACAATTCGTAAACCTACTCTCATCGGACCACAAGACATGATTCACAAAATCGGGATACTGCTCATAGAAGCGCATTCGCCTTGTAAAATCAATTTGCTTAAGTCCTTGAACTATTGTAGGTTTGTATGGATTATACTTATTCTTATTTAACACTCTCTGTACTGTTGATTTTGACACACCAATTCCTCGTTCTATAGTTCTTACTGATGCACTAGGGTTTTCGTTGACAGCTTGTAAAATGTTTCTGTCTCGATTTTCATTTTCCATATTGCATCTGCTTCTAGGTTGTTCGAAGGCCCCACGGTCTATTAAATTAACTACTGTTTTTCGAAATTGGGTTTTATGTGGCTCCCATCGTACCTTGCTGAGGTAATGTCGGCGTTTCTGTGTGACTGCGCTAACATGTCAAACTTTTCTGCATTTCACTACGGACCGGCCATTTTCAACAGGTTTTGACAATTTTTTGTCAGATTTATGATTTTAATGACAGAAAACGTATCTACTACTTAAAACACAATTTTAATACTTTGAATTATTTAACGTCAAAGTGAGATCCTCCTTAGATGAAAAAAATGCGTTACTTATTAATTTTATTTTCTGACAAATAAATCATGGCCTCCTTAGAAAAAAAAAAATAATACATAACATTACGTGTGATGATATTTCGATGACACTCCAATCTTTTATACACTTGTGAGACATCACTAGGCTGGAAATTTTACGCTCTTTTGAAAAATCTAAAAATCCAATATGTCGGCCATAAGAAAAATGAAAGTTGAGACAGGTTGCGGGAAAACAAAAGACTATTGAGATATGTCATATATGCTATCTTATTTGCTTTAAAAAAATGTGGAATAATGTCACATTTTGACAGCGATCAAATTAACAATTTCGGATTTACTAGCAAAAAACAAGATTCGACATTTTCGGTTTTTCGCCGATATTTCCAAAACCAATTGACTGATCGTAAATCTGGAGACGGCTATCGAATGCACTAAGTTTCCTCTAAAACTTTTCCCAGTTAACCTTTGCTGTAGATATAAGAGGAGCTGAGATGTCTGTATAGAGAAGCGCATCTGGAACACACTGTCTATCGAGTTGTTAAGTTTGAAAGTTGTACAGATAGGCTAGGTTATCGTTGATCGCATTAGTGGAAAGCTGTTTGAATTTGAAGACAAATATAAAATACTGGTATCTAGGATGTACTATCAAAAAAATTGGTAAATAGCTCAAATCAGCTTGAATTGCAGTTTATTTCACACTGAAAATTTTTGTTATTTTACCAGCGTGCGCACGAAAAAATACATAGACGTATGGCCAGTGAATTTCTTGAATCCCGGAGAAAGTGATGCTTTCGATACGACGTCACTGTTCATGCTGCAGCTGGCATGCATCGTAAACATGGTGCCTTTGTGGAGCCGATTGAAACTGAGAGTGAGGTTATGTGAAGGAGGACAGTCTCAGGGCACTCTTGAGGTGGAATCTCACCCTGCGCAGGCTGTAGTGACTTACAGGTAAATCAATAGTAACAAAACTGCGTTGTCATCAAATCATAAAGGATTATGTTCGGCACAAGTTAAACCATCTATTACCGTTACAAACATATATAATAAAGTATTGAATGGGTCAAGTCGGTCAACGAGGCCCATACAATGTGTCCATAGTCCCCGCACAACCACGTTGCTGTGAAAAACTTGGGCACTCGCGAACCCAGCACGGCGTTGCAACCTCACGTCGGTCAGATATTGGCCAGCCCTTGAAGCAATTCGTTGAGTTGTGTGGAACCCGTGTACTGAAAATATTTCTCTATAAGGTTTTGAGGCCAAATGTCCAAGCGCATAAATATACTAACCTCAAAAAATTGAGAGATCACTTCCACCACCCCTTGCAATCCCCAATCCACAATTTTTTACCCCTAAATTTTTTTTTGAAAATGATCAGTATTGGACGATTTTTATTATTTGCATTTGTGATATTTTAGATTATGGTAAAATTCAGATACGAGGGTTGTCTCAAAAATAAGGTTCCCGCCGCTGTATCTTTGCCGCGGGTGATGCTAGTGGAAATCTGGTAACAGCGTCATGTTTCTCGGTTGTCCCACCACCGATCGCAACAAGAAGCGCCTATTTACGATGCTCAGTTGCTCAGTACCGGCCTGACAGCCATGCGCAATGGACTCCTTCATCGGGGTCATCCGATTTTTGCACCTAAAAACCGTTACCACCCATAGAAATGTATTGCCACTTGAGTGAAGTATATGGGGAAATGTGTATAAGCATTCAACATGTCCTCAAATGGTGAAGAAACTGCTCTGACGGCAGAACTGACATCCACGATGGACAACGAAGCAGGACATTGTCGATCTCCGAGGAAATTGGGCGAAGATTGAGCAAATCTTACTCGAAGATCGGCGAATCACGATCCGGGAACAGGCGGTTGAAATTCCTGAGACCTCTGAAAAAGCTGAGACGGGCAATCCAAAATCGTCGTAGGGGAAAACTCGCCAAAGCGTAAGACTTCACCACAAAAATGCGCATCCTCAAGTCTCACAACAAACGAAGGACTTAATCGACCGATTTGACTGGGAAGTCATAATTGCCCATCACCCTTACAGCGCTCTCAAAGCTTTTCCGAAATTGACGAAGCACCTAGGCGGTCAATGGTTCGAGACGGGCGAGGAGTTGCAAGGAGCAGTTACCAAGTTTCTAAATCAGCTGGCGGCGGGCTTCCTTCCAATGGTGAATTCGTTTTTGCAAATAAAAAATTCCTTGTGCCTGAAAAAAATGTGGGAACGTTATTTTTTAAACAGCACTTGCAGATGATGCATTAGTATACATATCAGGTGAAAAAATAGACACTGCTTTAAAAATGCTAAATCCTGACTTCAAAATTCATAAATTGGTTAAATGTAAATAAACTTAAATTGATTGCTTTTAAAACAAAACGTATGCTAGTACGGAAGTACTTCAATGGGAATACTATTACAGGAAAAATGGTGAGGTAATTGAAAAAATAGATACAATTAAATATTTGGGTATGTATACTAAAGTTTGAGGATTACTATGAATACATTATTTCAAAAATTGACAAAAAACAAATTACTTTTGTAGGGATTCTCATATTCTTAGAAAATATTCAAAAAAATAGGGAATAATACAATTGAGGGGCCTGGAAGTAAAAGTGTTTAAGTACATTTTTAGTAGTTCTGAGATAAATGTTTACTTGAATTTCAAAATTCCAGAAATACATTTATCAAAGTATGATACTATATTAAGTTTATTTAAATGCCGATAAAACATTACAAACAAAAAACATTGTCTTAATTTTGCTTTTTTATTGTCATTTTTGCAAAAATGTACTTGAATCATTATACATGTTACAAAAATTATGGTGGTAACATGATTCAAGAGCAACTACCGTACTAAATCAAACATTATTTAAAAATAATCTATAACAAAATTTCTTATTCATAATCAGAATCTAATATTTGGATGTCTTCATCATTTTCCTCATCTAAATCAGCTGGTCTTGGTTGGGGTTCATCTATATCAGGTACTTTTTGGCTTGATGTCAGGGTCTGTGTTTGTTTCTTTTTTCCTTTTTTTGTTAATGCTTTCCCATCGTGCTTCATGTTTTTATAAAATGTAGGGTGAATGGGCGGAATGTATTCCAATAAGCTAAGCAAGTTTTTGTACTTGGCGACTTTAATCTTTATTGAAGTGCCATTCAAAGGCTTTAGTATTGAAAAGTTAAAACACGGACGCCCAACTTTTGAGGTTGCCATTAAGCAACTGCTAAACTCTAGATCAATGTTTAGGGTACTCTTGTATCGAAATGTTAGTCTTTCACTTTTATAGTAACAAGCCAGAAAATTTCTTTCCAATTTAAGTGGTAACCGTCCTATTTTTTTGGATCGTTCATAATTTCATTGAACGGCGAAAAAGAGTAAAAATCGTCATATTGTACACAATAAATTTGGCCGATGTGCCTCTTATTACAGTCTCGCAATCTGCGGGGACAAAAACTTGAGGGATTTGCCTTTTTTTCTTCTCGATTAAGCCAAAACTACGGTCACATTCCATGTAAGTGTGCCCGGGTTCAAGGAACTTGTGATGAATCTCAGATATATGTGTAGCTTGAACAATAAAACTAAATAGTTTAGCAATGTTTTTATTCTTATTTTGTCCTACACACGAATCACTGTATGCAATAATCTTCGTAACTGTAGATGGAAGGCTTTGCACAAATTTTATTAAACATGATCCTATCTCCTGTGAGCCCCTGGATGCAATAGTTTCGTTCCATACATACATATAACTTTTTCCAGTCAGTAAGTCAAAGACACAGAAATTATACGTCCATAATTGACGAAGATAAAATGCTTTAGAGGTGGTTAACAATGGCGTCGGCAATGCCTGTTGCAAATCAAAACAAATTACAGCCGAATTTTTAAAATCATTTTTATTTTCAGCAATATCAGCTTTTTTGGCATCTGTTGCTTTCTGGGCCTTTCTTTGGTGCAGCTCGAGGTCTTGCTTGGCATTTTTAATCACGTCTTCATTTGTAGAATATTTTATTAAATTTTGTAAATTGTCACAACGACTGCAGGTATCACTATAGAGCTTGTGGAATCTTGAATCGAATTCCGTATTGAAAATATGCCTGTAATAGGACTCTTACTGGTAATTATTGTTTGTCAATACAAAACTCCTGATATAATTTGTACATCTTATTGATACTTAATTCTCCTGAGAGATACCTTGCGTTCCCAATCAGTACTCATTTTGTTTATTATTATAACACTACCAACACTGCAAAATGCGTATTTTTAACTAACAATAAGTAAAACGTTGAAATCACGTCACACGTAAAACATTAAAAATAGTTGCCAAAGCCTTAGAAGTAAAATGGTTCAAGTGCACTTAAATCATTTTACCACATACTGTATTAGTGGATATTTTGATATGTTCTCAAAGACTATGAGAGATGGCGCCAGGGAACGTTGCCTGCATTTATATCATTTTACCACCAAGTTAGGATATGCTTTAGGTATGATATTCTGCACGTAGACCCATTTCATTAAAAAAGTGCACTTGAACCTTTTTACTTCCAAACCCCTCAATTATTCTTCCGAATCTACTAGATCGTTCAACAGTCTTGTTCACTGCCAACGAAGCTGTATTCTCAAAATTACAAATCCTACAAAATAAAGCTATGAGTAGAATATTGGATAAAAATAAGTACACCAAAATAAAATCCATTTTACAAGAATTGCAGTGGTCGAGTATAAAAAATTTCATGTTTGGTTCTTAGTTTTATATCCAAAATAAAGTCAACCTTTGCTACATTTAGAACATTCTCAACTCTCTCAACTCGTTTAGTAATTGTTCCACATTTTAAGATGCTTTCAATTATCTCTAAAAAAACCCTTCTAGGAAGGTTGACTGATCTTTTATAATATTGGTCCTCTGTGAATATGTATCGTAAACATATCAGATTAAGGAGATTTATGATTTTCCTAATATTAAGCAGTCATATTTATTTAATAGTTGCGATATTCAATCATTTTTTATATTATTAAGCTAGTGCTTTTGCGCGCAGAGTTGTTGGCATGCAATCACACTTTGGAAAGGCAACTTTTGAATCTATCGCGATCTTTACAGAGATAGACTGACAGATATGCTGACAAGACTGAGGATTGAGGCAGAACTGGCTCCTGTGCAAGAGTGGAGGAGAATAGTCGAAAGAAGTAGACACAGTGAATGGGAAGCATATGCTAAAAAGTAGGTTCTGCATTATTGCTAAATAGGTGTTTATCATGGTTGTACTCATTATTCCCTCCTAATATGAACGAATAAACAGATTATTCCTCGCATATTTTTTGTCTTCCGAACACATGGGTGAAGAATTTTGAGGATGACTTGGATTTTTAGAAGTATTCGGTACTATTACATGGAAAATACTATTTTAGTAAACTTAGCGAATTTCATCAAAGGTTTTTATAGATCCCTACCTTGCCAATGTTGATCTATTTTATTATATTTTTTCAGCATAAATTCAATGATCCTACAACAGGCTGAAGAAACGGCAGTGACATTCATTTACTTACCAGCACCGTCATTTGAGGGAAAAGAAGCCTACTACAAGTTTCTGGAAATTATCACGAACAATACGCCACCGACAATTCTGGTTCATGGGATCAGTACAGTTACCTCCACTACTTTATGATATTTTTTCATACTTGGCCTCTGACAGATTAAATTGACCATATTCGGAAACCTGATATCAAACAGTAATTTCAGGCATCCGAATTTAGCGATCCAAAATCTATAATAGTACCCAAATCAAATTTATATACATATTTTTATATCTCTATATTTAACTCTCTTATTTACACTAAACAGTTTTTATCAGGTTTGAGACAACTGCTAAATCTGATGATAATTCTCATATTATGAAAAAGTCGTCTTCTTTTCTACTTTACCTTTTATGCTGCTGATTTTTAACCTATTTGTGCAGACTATAAGTAACTCGGAAGTTGTTTTCTTATTAAATGACTTAAATATGATAAAGCATGAGTTACACAGCTTCACAAAAAAATAAAAATAGTGGAATATATTTCCAATCTAGGAATTGAAAGTGTTTAATTATCATTAAGTTAAGGTGAAAAATACTAACATATCGCATATTTGTCGACACCTTACAAAATATTATCATTTATGTAAGTCACCACCTTAAATTTTGTCGTATCAGTATTGTGTTTAACAAATAATAATCAAAAAATATAATACCGGAGATCATTGCTAACATAATTATGAAACATATAGGAATATAATATACAATTCTTTTTACGTTTATTTTTTATATAGCGGTGCTATGTTTAATCACAGGATACAAAATAGGAACGCAAGTTGCTATTTTAGTCCAATTTTTATTACCCGACTGCCTCAAAAGGAGGGTTATGGTTTTCGCGCGAGGGTATGCGTGAGGACAAACAATTTTACTTCTACAATTAAATCTTGATTCTTCCCACTTACTGCAGTCGGGATGTTTGTACTATGTTCTTATTAAAAATATGTAAAGCCTGTGATCTTTTTATATAGTGACGTTATAAATATGTATGACTAGCTAATACTCAAAATTTATACATGTTAATATGTCTTACAACTTATTGATACATAATCCACAAAAAGAAATAAATTTTTATACCTATTTTATAGCTCTGTTTTTTTCATAGTCTTGTTTTTCTTATTTGTTACAACATCAAATAGCAAAAACATACATGCATTAAGGAGGGTTTGTTGATATACGGGTTTGTAACTAGCTAAGATTCTCTTTTAGGTTTTTCTGGCTGTTGAGCCGGGGTCGGGTTGGATTTTCTCCAGAGCTTTCATCTACATCTGCGGTAGCCATCTTCAGTGGCGCTGTCGTCGAGAGCGAAGTGTCGGCTTGACACATCGACTGAAACTGATCGTGATCGGTCAACTGGATGAGTATGCGCTAGGCGATCGGAGAACTGAGCTGTCTGATGGGGGTACTCTGGGTCCCCTGAGCGACGTGGTTTTGGTGCTGTATTGTTTAGTATTGTAACAAGAATGAATAAGTACTGTTGGCGTCATCTGTTGGGGAGCGCGCCAGACTCTCCTTCGGTGCGAGACTGCTGGCGACATCTGTTGGGGACCGCGCCAGAGTCTCTCCTTCGGTGCTGGCCACATCTGTTGAGGACTCTTCTTCTAGATCGAAGACTGACCTCGAAGATTCTGGGCTGCCTATGTGGCGTGCCGGAACCTTCTCGAATCAACGAGTCTACAGGGTGACTTCGAAGTTGAGTCATTTATTTTAACAGTGAGTAGATCTGATCAAAAGAAATGTTTTTTTCCTTTAACATTTTTCTGGTAAAATTAAAGTAACAAAGTTATAGCCCTTTAGAAGTTTGAGTACCGCCCTGTCTCAATAATAATATTGTGCTCGTGTTTGGCCACAACGGATATAATCCGCCTTATCCGTTCATCGCATCGGAAACAAAAAAGCGAAAGAATTTGAAACGATGTTTTTACTACAATGTACAATCTTATTCAGTTGTATTCAGTCGATGTGTCAGTCGGTAACGCGTGAGTGAATAGTGAATAAAAAATGGCACATGTTTACGAAAATGCTGAATGTAGTACAAAGGGCTCGTGAATCAGGTGACTTAAGACCTCACAGGAGAGGGCATGCCGGTGCTCCAAGACCACACGATCAAATACAGGTCCGCACTGAAATACTTGTCGGGAGGATACTTTATAAGACAAGGTAACATTTTTTTTTTATTTTTTTTTTATTTTTACACACATATTTTGGTTTATCTTCCTTCTACAATCATTATCTGAAAATTAATGACTCAACTTCAAAGTCACCCTGTATAGAGGGAAGCAGAGTAGAGTGGAGATAATGGCGCGACACAATAATTCGTAAATAAATAGTCAGACATGAATAGTGGTGTACATAAATGTCCTATCTAGTTAAGTTAAAGTTAATTGTGTTGTGTTTTAAATTAATTAGTGCATTTCGTCTTGTGGAATCGAATGTTTTTAATCCACACCCAAAAGAACCCAGAAAAACGCTACAGTATTGTGGACAACGTTTTGTTTAAAACAAGACCTTCTTCTTCTCTATTTAAATTATCCTTGTGTTTGTAGATTTCAATTGCTTCCCTGTTCATTCGGACTGAGTAGTGGGTGGACTTCAGTTTGATTGAGCAGAACATTGTGGCCGTCTTAGAGTGCGTGTTCGGCCACCGCTGATTTATCAGGTTGTTCCAGTCGACAGTTTCTTCCGTGCTCCTTAATTCGTGTTTAAAAGCTACCTTTAGTTATACGTATACTTTACCACAGGAATACGGTATTCTGTATATGCCGGCACCGCTCGGGGGTATCTAGGGTACTTTACTGATGTTAAGAGTTGCTGGTTTTTATTTGTCGACTTGAAGATTGTCTTGACGTGTTTCTGCAACAACCTTCCTATTCTATCCGTAATGCTTTTAATGTATGGTAGGAAGGATACTCCCGAATGTGGTTACTTGTCTCCTGCCGGCGCGGCGGTCTGCTTTTTTGTCGTGAAATCTGTTCTATTTGTTCCCATCGATAGATATTTGCTTGTAAAACTATGTTAACGTGATCCAGTTCCCCCTGCAGATATTGAGGTTCACAAATTCAATGTGCCCTGTCTATCAGATTTTTAATGACACCTCTTTTTTGTCGAGGATGATGGTTGGAATCCTTGTGTAGATATTTGTCCGTGTTTGTTGCTTTGCGGTAAACTCTGTGACCCAGCTTTAAGTTCTCTCGTCTGACCACCAATACGTCCAGAAAGGCCAGTTGATTGTCCCCTTCTATTTCTATTGTGAATTTGATTTTGGGATGAATGCTGTTTAGGTGACTTAGGAACACTGCTAGTTCTGTTCTTTCGTGGCTCCATACCACAAAGGTATCATCCACATACCGTAGCCAACAACTGGGCCGATTGGGGGCGGCGTTCAGGGCTGCTCCCTCGAACGTCTCTATGTAAAAATTGGCTATTACCGGGCTTAGCGTTAGGGTGTGCCGGAACAACGTCAGAATATCCTCTGGAAAAACTTGTTTTAGGTAATCCAGTGATAGGTCTAGTGGGACGTTTGTGAAAAGTGACACGACATCAAAACTAACCAAGATCGGTGGAGTCCTTGACATACGACTGGAACAAACTGATAAAATCAACGGTGACCGAACACGCACTCCAAGATGTCCACAATGTTCTGTTCAATCAAACTGGTCTTATCAACATCCACCCACTACTCAGCCCGAATGTACAGGGAAGCAATTGAAATCTACAAACACAAGGATAATTTCAGTAGAAAAGAAGGAGGCCTTGCCTTAAACAAAACGTGGTTCCCAATACTAAAAAACCGGAACCAAAACCACGTCGCTCAGAGTACCCCCACCAGACAGCTCAGTCCGCCGATCGTCTATAAAACCGCACGCCCATCCTGTTGGCCGATTAGTTTCAGTCGACCCGCCAAGCCGAGCACTTCGCTCTCGACGACAGCGCCACTGAAGATGGTTACCGCAGATGTAGCTGAAAGCTCTAGGGTAAATCCAACCCGACCCCGGCTCAACAGTTCGATAAACCAAAATGAGATTAGAACTAGCCGTGAAAGTCCTCATTCTTCAACTAGCTAAGGTGAGTGTCGTGCCAGTCCACCCCAGTCAGTCCTCCTACAGAGTGCGACTAAGATGAGAAATGAGAAGCAGAAAATGCTTGAATAGTCTATGATCAGAATGTGCTAAAATTATGGTGTAAATAATTCAGAAATTTACATAGACGCACACGTCAGGTGTAATAAATGACGTATGTCGCGAAAATGTTGCAATCCATTCTATCTAGAATAAGAACTATCATCACGTCAATTAAAAATATATCATGCATTGGCAGGTTCTCACATAAATTATGGTTTAACAGCGCGAGGAGCAGCAAACACAACTCATATATTGAAATAAGAAATAACTCAAAAAGGTACTTCAAAGAATAAATATCTCATAAACTCCCACTGTATATCTCTACAAAGAAACTGGTATATTAGATATAAGACAATCATGCCCACTAAAAGTTTTGATAGTGTCACACCGTCCTTCCAGCCAAAAGCCGATACATAATGCCACGAGACGAAATCGTTTAATTAAAAAGATCTTATTTAACATAAAAACCTTCAACAGATTTACCGCTCAAGACAAAATACCCAATAGTCAACACTTGCCAATTAAGACAATATAATAATGTATCTTCATTTTTTAGTTAAAAGAAAAACAAAGAAAAAGACTCATTTGATGAGGAAGGCGGCAATCAAAATACTTGCTCTTCCATGCAACCCCCAATACGCCCCTACTCTACTTATTTACCGATTTTGACAACATACTCGATATGTCCCCCCAAACATAAAACAAAACACTAGTAACCTCCATAAGATAGACTTGATGCCTTAAATGAGACATTTTAGCTAAAAAAGAGATCTATGATTAAATATAGCCATCCATATCCTCACTTTGTCAACACAATGTGTGTTCTAAAATTCTATTAAATATTGTTATTGTATTTTTCTTAGCAAATCACGTGTAACAAGGCAAGTCTTCTGTGGGTTTTCTCCGATGTTTATTGTTCTAAAAATGTCTTTTCTAATTATCTGCTTGTAGTTTGAGCAATAAACATTATTATTATTTATCTCGATGTGAGAGGTGCTAGAGGTGAAGACAGTAGATCTCCGATCAGCTTCTACCACGGATATTGCAATAGGGACTGCAGAACTCCAGAATTATGACTATTCCACGCCGCGTCTCACTCCGGTGATGGAGCAAAATATTCCCTAGCTGTAAACAAATAATTCAGCTTCTTCCTAGCAGTTACTGCAATTGAGGTATCCATGGCAAATAATACTCGTATACTCGTCTATCTGGACTTCGACAGACCGAAATAATTCCCTAGTAGTAGTAATAGTTGGGCATTCATCAAACCGGACATTTCAATTGTTTAAATTTTGCTGGAGGTTCGCTTCATGATTCTCGAATATTTATAGAACCTGTCGTAGCAGTTGAAGTGCATGGTTTGCTCTTTTTAAATAAGGGTACGTACATAGTGAAAGATGCTTACTGTGATGCTTTCTTCGCTACCTCGATGAGCGCTTCCTCGCGACTTTCTACATGGATGAAGGGTGTTCATACTGAATTCACCCTCAATGTTTTCTCTTCTCTCCTCGAACGCGATTCTTAATGTTTCATTTATTCACGAGCGAATAATAAGGCAGGATGTTGTCGACCGACAATAGCAGTGAGAGTGATTTGTCTCTTGTAACCAAGTGGTGGATGTTTAGTTCTCTACCACATCGAAAATACAGTACACATCCAGTGAACAAAGCGAGACAGGAACTTGGAGAGTACCACCATCTTTTCCTCGAATTGAAGAGACACAAGGAAATATTCCACTCCTACATGAGAATGTCGATAGATACATTTGGTTACATACTCGACAAAGTTGAGCCTCTACTGGACGACCGCAAGTACACCAACTTGCATACTAATCCAATTCTTGCTAGCTAAACAGCCTTCGTGTCATGAAATCTCCTGGGATGTGGACTCTGAATTATACAGCTTTTCAAACTTTCCACTAAAGTTATATTTTCTTCTATCTGCTGCATTTTTAATACCAAGCTTCGTTTTCGGTTTTGGTTCTTAAACCAAACTGTAAAAAAAATTACCACGTGTAACTCGTTCGGTCTTTTTCTTTCTAAATTCACCACTTACTAACGACACATTTTTAGTTTTTAGTTCCTACCCTACACCGGCGAGGAAGTATTGTAATCGCGAAAACTTTCGAAAATGTATATATGTATATAATGTTTTTTGTTGTAACATACATCACTTATGTACGTCTCTCTGTCGGTCCGCTAATCCTTCGACCGCCTATAACTTGGAAAGTACCGCTTGGATTTTGATGAACTTTTCACACAAGATTACTACTATGCCAAAGAAGAAAAAGCGTTGCGGTTTTTGAAAGTCGGTCCAGTGGCGGCGGTTTTACAGTCAAAAAACAGGAAAAAATCGCAGAAACTTTGTTTTTTTTCTATGTTTCAGATGATCCTAATCATTTTTGAAAACGTTTAGGGGTAAACAATTTGGGGGTGGGAGAGGCTGTATCGCAATTTTCTGATGTTGGTATATTAATACACTTCCAACAGTAATTCTACGCACCTATTAGACATAGTTCACACACCACAAATTTCCTCGTACATTATGCCCTTAAAACTTGGAAAAATATGTTCAGCTGACGGTTCCTAACGGTCGCATATGCCGTGGCCCACGAGGTTATTTATAAATATTGCATATTGTCCCATTAGAGCAGAACTATACCATGTCAAAAGCAGCAGTTGCACCCTTCCGCAGATAAAACAGTTCTGCGCAACAGGGATAGAAGCGTAGGACATAGACTGAATTTTTAATCGGCTGTTTTCAGTATGCTCCTTCAGCGTAGGCAGGGGATACTTCTGCAGCAACGAGACGACCTTCAATACGCCATATAAAATATAAAAAAGCAAAATTTGGAAACTTATGTCATGGAATAGTTCTGTTTTAAGATGACGATATTTGGTACTCAATCCGAGTCGACAAGCAGCGCGACGACTTACATGTGGTGGACGCGATATAGGTATTAACTGTGTATATGAGTATTATATATATTTTATCAAGTTTAATAATAATAATAGATTACCTACCAAACATTGTTGCCAAGCAGTTTTACACCGGAGCTCCAAAGAAATCAGGCTCCCGTGTACGGATACGCTCATTGCTACAATTTGAGCATTTTCTTTTCATTAAAAGCCCAAATAGTGCATTGCACTACGTCGAAAATTGTACTAGAAGTTGTTTCGAACACGAGCGAGGTATAAAGCCAATCTACTTGACGCCATTCATTGAATAAAATGAATTTTATGTAGCAATATAAGACAAGAAAATTTGTATTATTTCGTAACTAGCTAAATGGTGTTTTACCCTTATTTAGGGTCTCTAGGTCTCTAGTAAAAGAATTGAACCACAGTTGCCGATCCTCATATTTTACTTACACAGCTTCTCCCAGCGCTGCACTAATGGGGGTAATCATGAAATAGAACAGATTCCTGAAGATACTAGCCCAAGTGAAAGCCGTACCTCCGCCAAAATAATCATACGTAAGGTAGCGACGTCAACCACTTACAACTAATATACCTTTCGAGCGAAGCCTTTAGGTGTCACCGTTGCTACCTCTCGGACTGTTTCCGCAGGTTGTTTTTTTTTCCATTGTTGATAAATTTTGAGAATGCGAAATCTTAGATATACTCGTAATTACAGGGAAAGTTCAGGGATGATATTTTCTTGAAAGGTTGATGTCAGTTTTAAGCTGTCAAACAATATTAAGAATGTACCACTCAGAAATACAATACTCAAGGTCGGAATGAGTACTGGGGAAGCTTAAATAGCAGGTATAAGCATCATCGCAGTACTAACGAAATAATCAAGCCGGCCGTTACGTCGAGCGCTGAGCCCAGATAGCAGAAGAAGGCGTGTATCGAAGACATTTCCCCATCATTCTCAGATTCAAAGACACATGTACGATGTGTGAAATATGGCTAATAAGCGTGTAGAATTCCTGCATGCTTTCTTTCAGTAAGCCTCCAAGGGGTCGTGAGTATGCATCAGCAAATCATGTCTGTCTGTCAGAATGTCTGTTGTAGATGATCAAGGACTGTGAGATGGTAATGGAGAGATTCTGTTTACAATAGGTGATTCTAATAAACTATTGTGCATGATGGTGGAAGTAAATGAACCTTTCTCGTGATTGGCATCTGATGATGGTTGCTGTAGAGCCCATCCTGATGGTCCAACCTATTAAGACGTGTATACAACTCAGCGGGGGGAACGGTGGCGATACGCAAGACCCACTACAGTACAGTGGCGCAACATCTTTCGCTGAGACAGGGTGTTAGGCCTCTCTCTTCCCATTGCCGAAAATGGCACGAAACATCCCTAGCCCACAGCCAATAGTTCGCTTTTGGGGCTGAACTTCTTGCGAACTGCCGACCACAAGGACAGTTGTTGGTTGGCCAGTCTAGTATGTTCCGGGGTGATGTGGTTGGGGATCACGAACTCCCATAATGGGTGTTGGGGGCCATCGGAGACCAATCTACCGCCATCCCCATTTACCGCCATCCCCATCCTCAGAAGCTGAGCATTGCACTCAGTCGTTAACAGATGGCATTGGAGCCCTGAGGAAACGGTATATGACCTGAATGGTAATGAAATTGGGGAGAGAAGGGGGTGAGCTATTATATATTATTATCTGAAGAGAAATAAATTCGCCAACCACAGGAGTTGATGTAGGGGTTGTACCTCTTCCAACGTAGAGAGAAGGACCCAATGATCATCAACCATTACAAAGTTGCGGGATGACCTCAAACAAAAGTGGAAGTTGCTCCTCATTAGGAGGATCCAATTGATACGTTAGGAACCAAGTGTTGGGGGTTGAAAATCCGATTTCAGAAAAATTGCAAAGAGAATTCTTTGAGCCTTAATGGACCACAATTGGTACAAAATAAACGAATTCAACAAGAAAAATTACCCTACCTCTAACATAATTCCAGCACTCACCCAGTAGGAAAGAAGAACTCTAATTTGCACCATACACCAGAAGCAACTCTACTAGATTACCCCCGGTATACTCGTATGTACAAATTCAAGACCACTCTTATACTGGACAGCCGAGTTAGAAGCAATGTATCTAGAAAATTTTTCTGAAAGAACACCCCCAGAAATAAGCTTGTTTCATAACAATATTCACTTTTTCCCGCCTTGAGAGGAGAAAATATTTTTCCAAGTTCAAGGAAAAATGTACCAGGAAATTTATGATGTGTGCAATATGTCTAATATGTGAGTAGAATTACTAGGGCTGGAAGTTTATTATTAGATATTATTATTAATATATTAACATCAAAAAATTGCGATACACCCCTCTCCGATTCCACCACCCTTTACAACCTCCACCTCCCAATTTTTTACCCCTAACTTTTTTTTTCAAATAATCAGGACGCTCTATAACGTCAAAAAACGTAGTAAGCTCGCGAAACATCTTTTATTGAGCCTCCACGAAAGCGAGAATGCTTTTATAACGAAATATATACTGCTTTTTGCTGACTTCTCTCGGTAAATAATGGGAAGGTTTATGAGATTAATACTACCAAACGAAAGAGCGGCTTTTGGGTTTTTACCCTTTTATCTTCTCTGAAGGTGACTTGATCGAAAGTGATAATAAGGATTTAGTTGCGAATGTTCCATCGCACGTTCACCCCACACTTAAATTGGTACCAGCACTGAGAAACCCAGAAAAAAGTTCAAGGGGGAGCTCAGGATACATGTTCAGGAGAATGTCCGTCTCGGTATGGGGATCAGCGATTTAAAACTGAAGGTGAAGCTGGGGGTATCGGCTACTGAAAACTGAAGAAGGGGGTAAATGATGGTGTTGTCTGTTTCATCAATGCTCCCTACAGCGAATGCCTTTGCTTCGACAATTGGAGAGCGCGGGGGCTTACACTTCACAAACGATGCTGTTTTAATGCATATCACGAAACACATATTAGGCCATGTGGTTCTGCGGGAAGGGGCTTGAGGCCAGAGGCCCCACCTCAGTGTGTACCAGCGTCAAAGTGAGGCCCTAAATTTTACCATGTCCCCTTCAGGCGCATGTCCGGCACTGGGTACCAAACAACACAAGACTGCAGCAATATATTTACGAGGGTGGTCCCAGAAGTACCCGACCCAACGAAGAAAACAAAATTTTTGTAAAAAAATGTATTTATTTATAATAAGAATTATATTGCTCCTCAAAATAGCCATTAACTGCCGACATCACTTCTTCATCGTTGGAAAATCTTTGACCACTCAGCCATGTTTTCAAGTTGGGAAACAGAAAATAATCCGAGGGGGCTAAATCTGGTGAATAGAGTGAATAAGGTAGCAATTCAAAGTTTAATTCGTTAATTTTGGCCATTGCAATAACGGATTTGTGAGGTAGTGCATTGTCTTGATGAAAGTGTTCTTCTTAACCAAATGCGGCCGTTTTTGCTTGATTTCATCGCTCAAACGTTGCAATAAGTTCGCATAATACTCGCCGTAGATAGTTTTACCTTTTTCAAGATAGTCAATGAAAATTATCCCACGCGCATCCCAAAAAACCGACGCCATAACCTTGCCTGCAGATGAAACAGTCTTCGCCTTCTTGGGAGCCGGTTGTCCCTTTTGATTGTTCTTTTGTCTCGGGTGTGAAGTGATGGATCCATGTTTCATCCATGGTTATGAAACGACGCAAAAATTCTGCTTTGTTGCTGTGAAACTTCTCTGAACACTCAATTGAAACGTCTTCACGACACTGTTTTTGCTTGATTGTGAGCACTTTTTGAAATGCCTACTATGTCTGCTAGCTCGCGCACTTGCAGTCGACGATCATTCAGTACCGCTTTGTGAATTTTCTTCACCATTTCTCATCACCTCATTTGGTCGACCACTGCGATGCT